GCAGAAGTCGCTCTTTCTTCCAAAAAAAACTTTTTTCAATTTAAGCGAATCTACAATGAGTAGTCGCAGTTTGAAAATTGAACAAGTGGCAGATTGCAATTGGATGATCGGCAGGTGGTCGTAAAATTTTGGCAGGCCACTGTATGTATATATGTATTGATTGCTTGTATGGGAATGTCATGTATACGATGTCATGATACATGGTTATTCTTGTTCTTATTTATTATTATTATTATATTGTTGTTGTTATTATTATTATATTGTTATGTTATTTTATGTTATGTATGTCATGTCATGTTTATATTTATATATTATTGTATTGTTATTATACTTTTGGTTTATCATCGTTATCATCATCGTATGATGTGTGTATAAATGGTATGTATGGGCATGAGTTGCTGCTGCTTGTCTTTTTTTTTTTCTCTTTTTTTTTCTTTTTCTCGATTGTATTCTTAGTATTATTTTAGTACTCGCATTATTATTATAATCAATCAATCAATTCCATCTGTCTATCAATCAGTCGATATTATTTAATACTCATTATACGCATTTATTGAGGAAATGGAAAAAAAACTTTAAACCTGTTGAATGCAGCACAAGTTGCATCATCATTTTGAATACAAATGATAGAGTTCGGACAATAATATACTAATATATATTGACATTACCAGTATTAATCGACTAGTTTAAATAAATATTTATAATTGATATTATTGATTCCATTCTTTTACTATTATATGTCATTCTTTTATCATATTGTTATTATTACTTGTCCTATAAGGTGATTAATGATGACATGTTGGACATGCGTAGACTGTCATATTTGTATGTTATGCTTGGCTTGGCCTTCGCTTATTAACTTATCACTGTTATTTCTTACTACTCATCTGCTCGGCTCGTTACCCGCAGTCTCATCCTTTTTGTATTACATCATCAATGTTCCTCAATATCTATAATTCATTTATTGTATATTCGTATAATGCATTGATTAATGTGAATAACACAAACATAAATAAAAGTCAAAAAGAAAAAGAATCTAAACATCAAAATAGAACTGATTAAATACGCACCAACCGCATCTGCATAAATATACGGATGCACTATTGTTGTTGATGTGTGATATTGTGTTGTGTGATGTGCAGTAGTAAAGTGCGTATCTACTGTATATTGTATCTACTGTAGATATTATGTTGTATATATCGTACATGTCGAATATGTTATATATATCGTACATGTCGAATATGTTATATATATCGTACATGTCGAATATGTTATATATATCGTATATATCGTATATGTCGAATATGTCGAATATGTCGAATATCATACATATGTACGAGTTGTCTTTTATGTCATGTTATTCTTCTTATGTCTTGTGTATCTTTTTTTTTTCTTCTCCTTTTTCTTTATTCTCTTTCAAACAAAGTACTTTAAAACTCTGTTATTAGTTTTGTATCAGTACTAATTTAGTATAACATATCGAATAATTTATATTACAGGTAAATACATGAATTATAAATTATACAATTTCAATTTACGTAACCCTCAAATTTTTTTAAGTATAAAAAACAGGCAATTAAAACAATAAGAGTACAATATAAACACTCTAAAACTTATATAAATCCGTATATTCTTATTTATTTACAACTCGTCTCAGTTATTTCAACTCAACTCGGCCAACCATCTTCCATTCAACCCCCTTTCCTATCCACACCCCCCACCTAATATAAATGTCTCAGCAATCAAATAAATAGACCCCATCCCAACGTTTTCTTCTTCACCTTGGTTCCTGATCATATTACAATACAGAAACAAAAAGTCAAAAAAAAAACCAAAACAAATCAAATCCATAAAGGCTTTCTAATTTTCATCGTTTTCAGTGTCTCGCCCTTCTAAATCACTTTGTTATATCAATCACCTTGTCCCCTTTACACCTCCCCTCTTCTTTGAAACGCGAAACTCTTTAAAATGTATCTAAACTCTTCAGTTTGCTCGCTACCTTCGTCCGCGACATTAACGATCAACAAACTACAACCTTCGCTACGGAATATAAGACAATTCAAACCATTACCTCCGCTTCCAACATCACAGTCTCCACACATAAGATACATACATCGTGTCCCCACGCGCGATTCGCGACGACAGAAACCCACAACAAACACAATTATTACTAATACTTCTAATACTCAGCTAATATCACCAATACCACTCACTACCACCGCCACAACAACTACAACTACTACAACAACCCCCCGCATCATGAATTCCTATCAAGAATCACTCCTCGAACAGATGCCGCTGGAACGCGCATCAGACTTTGCTGCTCATATGGCTCATTATCTTTGGTTTACCGATATTCAGAGTATTCCCTTTTGGAACTTTTCCTACGATTCCGCTCAACCGCGCTCTCAATTCAAAAAGTTCTGCCGTGATGTAATTAATGCCACCCAAGTCTCCCATTCCGTAATAGCTCTCTCTCTCCTATACATTTACCGAATGAAAATAAAAGTCCCCCCCGATACAAGGACACCCTGGATCCGAGTTCAGAGCATTCACCGTCGCATTGATGCTTGCCAACAAGTTTCTCGACGACAACACTTATACAAACAAGACGTGGTCCGAAGTCACAAACATCCCCGTAAAAGAGATCAACATAATGGAAATGGAATTTCTCAGTTCGCTAGACTTTTCCTTGTTCGTCTCGCTCGATGATTACTACAATTGGGTCTATTCCATTGACGCTCACATTCCCAACAACGACGACTCGATGAACGACGATTCCAACGCTCCCGACTGTGCAATTCCCATTTCTCAAGCGATAGACTACAACCTGCAAGTTCAATCTCAAAGCATGGTCCCCATCTCACAACCTCAACAATTGGTACCTTCTATGGTTTGCACTTCTACCGCAATTCCCATGGAAACCGTACAATCTTCTGCTCCCATGGCTGCTGTCTCGACGAGTTACAAGCGATCCGTTGATCAGGCATTCGTCGACGGAGTAATAACGTCACCGACAAAGAGATCTAACGCAAGCTCGAATTATTCGACCGTATATGCAATTCCGCAAACACAGCAACGGCATATACAGCAGCAACAACAACAGCAACAACAGCAACAGCAACAGCAGCAGCAGCAGCAGCAACGGCAGCAACAGCAACAACAGCAACAACAACAGCTGCAGCAGCAACAGCAACGACAACAGCTGCAGCAGCAACAGCAACAGTTGCAGCAGCAACGACAACGACAGCAGCAGGTTGTATATCAGCAAGCACAAACGTTAACATTGCCAGATAATTATTTTCCAGCGTCAGTAGACGTACAGTCATCGAATACTGGACTTGTCTATGGGAATACGGCAATGTATAATTTCCAACAAGGCTACGGGAATGCACCATCACAATACACCCTGGTCGATCCTGTAAGCGTACTATATACGGCACGAAGAATGTCGCTCTATAACGTGCGTACATCGGCACTCCCAATCAATGCAATCTCTTTTCAAACGGCTGTGAATGCTATCTAGAGACTCTTTTAAAAAATGTATAGAATCACGAGTTGAATTTGGGGATCAATCGAAAAAAAAATGCTATAGAAAGTGTTGGAGACTTGATATATAATATTTCCTTTTATTTTCAACTTGTTTATTTCCTGCATTTTTCATTATTACTTGCATATATTACAGGATTCATCTCTTATATTTTTTTCGCTAATGGATGATTATCTGAACTGCTCTTGCTCTTGCGCGTGGTGGTTTTCACAAAGAACTTTTATATATCTGTAAAGGCGCTTATTTTCATGGCGCGAAATATTTTGTCAGTAGTATACTTTTTCCTCCTCGTTTGTACAGATTTGTGATTAGACTTTATTTTTTTTTACTTTCTTTGCATTTGTATTTTAGTTTATCATTTTGTTTTTCCTTTTTACAAACTTCCTGCAGTTGTTTATCCTTTCTTTTATCTCCCTCACGAGTTTCGCATATATCCGTTTACTTTTACTTTTCCTGTTATTTTTCTCCCTTCCACTCGATATATAAAAAAAAAGTATACATATCAAACCTTAGATTAGTTTAGTACACTCTCTTTTGTTCGCACAATGCTGAATGATGAATGAATGAATGAAGTGAATGTTGCAAGAAAAAGAGTGACAAGATTTAGCATATGATACGTTGTGGCGTTGATTTCTAACATGATAATGAAACGATGTCTCTAATAAAATGAACTGAAAACTGAAGCGATGATAAATGGTGTATATTTCACACAAAAAATCTGTATTGTTGCGTATATTGTGCGTGTTTGTTGATGATTGAAGAGTGCCACATGATTTACTATATAAAACTGCGGGTCCCGTGCTTGGACAAAAAGGAAATATATACGCATCACTCCTTTTATTATTACCCATTCCACTTGGTTTCTTTTTCTCCCCTGCAGTGAAACAGTCTGAATTCTATGAACCATTCGTAATTCTTTGTTGATAGAATTAGTAAAATAAGGATAAAGAGGAGAGGCTTTTCTTTTTTTTTTTTTTTTCACACAAAGACAATGAAGAAAGAGAAACGCAAGTGGATGGGGGGAATTGGCGCTTTCAATGCGTGCGTGCGTGCGTGTGTGTGTGTAAGTGTAAGTGTAAGTGTAAGTGTATATGTAAGTGTATATGTAAGTGTATAAGTGTATAAGTGTATAAGTGTATATGTGTATATGTGTATGTGTCTATTCTATTGTATGTATGTGCGTATGTGTATGGTATGTGTATGTGTGGCTTTTGTGTGCACCCATGATACATCGAGAGAGACTATTAATGGTTAACACTAGATTGAGACTATTACGATGGACAATTCCGGCTTTTTACGTACAATCATTTAATTTTTTTTTTACTCACAATCCCGAACTTTCGTTTGGTTTTTTTTCCCTCTTCTATTAATAATACCATTTATCATTAATCATTTATTTACTTTTTTTTTCTTTTAAACCTACCCCATTTGAATTGCAACTGGTTTGGTCAAAGTCATAGTAATACCTGTTTTGGGGTTCTCAGTTTCGACTTTGCTTGTGTGCATATAATTGGTCGAAAAGCGTGATGACTTGTCACGAATCGCAACAGGGCGTGTTGTGTGCATTCTAATGACAAATGAAGCAAACAGCAGATGACCGAGTGTCTGTTGTTTGGTGTTGTTTGGTGTTGTTTGGTGTTGTTTGATGTTGTTATTAATTATTTTTATTATTTTTATTATTTTTATTATTTTTATTATTATTATGGTTTTTCTTTTTTTCTTTTTCTTTTTCCCATCCCTCGATTGACTAGTGCATCCATTCTTGTTGTCATCCGTTTGTCACTGCATGTCATTATCATCCAAATCCTCCCGCGTGTAATGAATAATCCATTATTATCATATCAGGTGAGTATTGCCTTAATTAGTCAATCACGTGAAACTTACAAAGTATAAACATATATTAATTAATACTATATAGACTTAATTTATAAAGTACATCATAATCAAACATTAACCTTAATATTAATGTTGGTCGCTGCTAAGAATTTTAATATCAATCTTAATATGTTTACCATAGTAACGATTTGTCATGTTGTTTACAACATTTTACGAAAGTTCGGCGCATTTTAATATGCATCGGTGAATAAAGGTAGTTTGAGAGGCATGAATTTACTGCAAGTCTGATGTTCTGGACCTTTTTTCCCTCGCCCCATCTCTGGTGCATGAATCTAATACTTTAATTGCCATGAGTAAGGCGCACAAGAGAAAAGAGGAAAGGAAAGAAGAATAATGAATGAAATGAAATGACATGAATGAACGGAACAAGTTAATTAGGAAAGAAAACTATTACTATAATCACGAAATCATGCCAATGTAAATTTGTGGCTATACGCCAACAAGATTTTCTTTGTGTGATCGGACAGACCTCCCCTCTACCCACATATCTCAATCTTTGAATAGGGATAAAATTCGCAATGTCCTTTGTGCATCATAAAGTGCGCATAACTTTCTCCATTTGCAGATCATCTCTGAATAGTAAAATGGTGACTATTCTTATAGTTTGAAGACTTCATATTGAACCTTGTATCGTGAAAGTTTTAGTATCAAAACGATTCACCATATATTTCCGTCCCCTTTTTTCGTAATCCAATTTGTGGGTCCAACTTCAAACAGAAAAGAAAGAATACTTGCACTAAAAAAAGCCCTCTGACAGACAAAGAACGCAGAATCTCTTTTCGAATAAAATATTATCCGGTTTTGAGTCTTCATCTGTGTACCAATTTAAAGTTAGTCACATAGTCTGATTCTCGCAAGGGTAAATGACACAACAAAAAATAATAGCTATTGTTCTCTTTAGCATGTTTGAGAATAAGCTTCGAAAGTGCATCCAATCATATGTAAATATATCGTACGTGTAGATCTTTTAGCCTAGATCATTCATGTGAAATTGTACGTATCGAGACGCATGCGCGATACCTCACCTGTTTGTCTCTTCTGCCCACACACCCCCCCCATTCCAATAAGCCCCATAGGCTTGGGCTTTTTCCTTTCATCTATCCTTTATTCTCTTTTCCCCCCATCTCTCGCTCTCGACCGGCAAAGAAATATAAACCCAACTTTACGAAACGAATGGTTGTGAAAAGGGAGATTGGAACTAAAGCGTCAGTTTTTCATTCGGTCTGCTTAAACCCCTTACTGGCATTATGGGGCGTCACAAAATTGCCAATTTGAGTAATGCTCGCTGCTATACTGTTTAATAATAGCTGATATGCAAACAAGCATTTTTTTTAGAGTTCATGTGATCAAACGTTCACTCTGTCTGCTCGTTGAGAATGGGAAACGCCGCGCTCGTAAGTCGAGCTGAGCCAACCTTTTTGATCGCAGAGTTGGTTCAAAAAATAGAAGCAATCTTTGAAAAATCGATCATGTATCTCCCCTTGCTGTTGTAAATACTCGTGGCATTTATCCTCATATACAGAAAGGAATACAAACGAGTCATTTTTTTTATTCCAGCAACAACAAACACGTTAATGTCTAACAATGTGCAACATTAGTTTGTGAGAAACGGTATTACCCGTGGTAGCAGTTATATAGACTTTGCAAGAATAAAGATACTCTGTCTTTTTTATTCCGACAATATACACGCCCCGATTACTGTACACTTTAAAAATTCCCTCGACTTGATAAAAACGTGTCTTCTTGTCAGATGAGTCTCACGCCATGCGTATGGACATTTAAATCGTACACAGTGCACGAGCTTAAAACCACATTACATGCTATTTGTGCCTTTTACATTTTACGTAAACATTATCGGGAGTATCCGATGAACACAAATCGAGAACCTGTCTGCAAATAACCAACTGTTAACCAACGTTTCAGTGTACACGGTTTACCAATGCTTGTATGATTTTAAATTTGTTTCTTGAGGTACTTTATGTCTATTGTTATGCCCTTAATTATTATCATCAGACCTCGTTGATGACGCTTCGGAATTTATTATCCTTTTGAGCCATGCCAAGCCTTTCCCCCTATGCATATAATGTCTCATTTAATCATTAAAATCACATTGCTCGAGGGCCAACTACTTTTCCTTAAGCGTTGGATTATTCTCATGTACATATAAACAGAAGAGATCAATTTTTAGCAAGTCAAAAAATATAATTGCAAATACTACAAGGCAAAAAAAAGAAAAAGAAAAAGAAAACCATCCCAATCGTTGTTACCAGACATCCTTCGAATATTCTAAAAAAAAGTTCTTATCACGAAATTATTTATAGAATTCTCGCGTCAAATCGGGTGTGCAAGCACTTTAGCTTATTAATAATTTACTGTTATTGAACAGCATTTAATTAATTTTTAGCCGACCATAAAACATTAGATAAGCATTTGTTCTATATAGGATTACTAATAAGAATAACGATAAAGACAAGAGAAACCAAGAAAAATTTTAAGGCAATAATAAGCCCACAAGTTAATACAATTGTTGGCAATAGAGATCTGCTCTTTCCAATTTATTATCAATACAGTCTTTGTTCAAGCGCGAATAAAAGATTTGGTGTTGGATAACAATAAATTATTTATTAGATGACTCATTCTTTTATCTTTCGCTCAAGGAATATTTGAATTTATCTTTTTATTCACCTTGTGTGACTAACGACTGTAAATAAACGCTAATATGAGAAGAGTTTAATGCCGAAACGTGGGAGACATTTGAATACGCCAGAAATATTAGGAAATATTGAAATGTAGGTTATTGTTATATTCACCAGTCTCGCGGCCGAGCGTAAACTAGTGACGGGGTGAATGGTTTTGGACGATATATTTTTATCACATTAGATCGAACATGTCTAACGCGTTCAAAGCTTTGTATTCTTAATACGGGAAATCAGGTGAGACGACGTTAACTTTGATTCTTTCTTCAGTTTCCAAATAAGATAACGCAAGCCACCAAGTATCAAGTGCTATGGGTTCTGGTATTTTAATTCGAAGAATTTACCAGGATGTAATAGTAAAGGATCTTCATTGCCAAAATCATATGATATATTAAGTCACATGACTTCACAAATTTAATTTTCCCATAGGCAAAAAATTCCCTTCCCTCAATACTAATATTTACATGTTATGGAAGAAGGCAGCCTGATATTAAACATAGTCAATTCGGTACCTGATAATGACAACAAGAGCTTACGTTCTCAGTGGAAAGATGCAGGCGGAAGTTGGAAAGAAAAGAACAGAATTAGAAGAAATTTGAAGAAAACTTCATGGAAGGCTAACAAGACAGAGGGAAGCAATAATCCAATAGCTACTACATCAACTGTGCCATCACCCATTACCAAGGAGAGATCAGATAATAAGGTAAAATTGCTTCCAAGCACGGAGGTAATTTCTTCTCTTTTCACTCATAATCCGGAAATACCACACTTGCCTCAATCTCCACGTGATAACAGCCATCTGAATCCAAGTAATGCTCCAAGTAAAGATGCACTACCTTTTTCCAGCATGGGACTGGATGATGATCTCTCTAGGCATTTAGAAGACGAATTACAAATACGACAACCGACCAACATTCAATCGAAAGCTATTCCGTTCATTCTGGCGAGCGTCAATGATCACGGCAGTCACGTCGATGCGGACGTTAAACCGGCAGATATCATAATACAAGCCGAAACAGGATCGGGAAAGACATTAACATATCTGCTTCCTATAATTCACTGTCTGTTGCGTTCTTCAAGAGAAGCAAGTAATCTATCACGACAGGTGAATCTTACTCGGTCGATCGGTACACTAGCAATCATACTGGTTCCTACCAGAGAACTTACTAAACAAATACTGTCTGTCATCGAGTCTCTGCTTAAGAAATCGTCGTTTAAATCAGGACAGAGCCATTTATTGCACTGGTTAGTCCCAGGCACTGTTGTAGGAGGTGAGAATAAGAACCATGAAAAGAATAGGATAAGGAAAGGTATCAACATACTAGTAAGCACACCCGGTCGGCTACTAGATCACTTGCAGAATACAAAGTCATTTGCACTCGATAGTCTTCGATGGTTAGTACTCGATGAGGCTGATCGACTGCTGGAGCTGGGATTCGAAGAGACACTTGAACAGATTGTTAAATTACTCAAAGTAAGAAGCGAAAATCATAACAATTCTCCAAACCCTTTTGCACAAGCTCCATCGTGGCCCACGTTTAGACGCACTATTCTATGCTCAGCCACTGCTAGAGATGATATTCGTCAGTTTGCTGGATACACACTCGTCGATCCAGTATACATTAACGCAGATGATATTGGATCTAGCGATAACGTAGGCGTTAAAGTTGAGGCAGTAGACTCATCGTCAGACGCTACAAAATATTCCACACCAAAGCAACTCAAACATAAATATGTAATAACGCCTGCCAAATTACGACTTGTTACCCTGACAGCAATATTAAAATCTACGTTCCGAACTCATCATCATGGACTTTCAACATGTCGTAAAGTCATTGTATTCATATCCTGTTGCGATTCGGTTGATTTTCATTTTGATTTATTCGCCAATACTAATGCAGCCAACATACTCACGCCAGAAGACGTGGAAGACGTTCAAACGACAGAGACGACGACAGCAAACATCGAGCAACATACGATTGATTACTATAAATCAGTTCGGCTGGTTGGCAGCGTTATTCCCAATATCGGGTTATATAGATTACATGGGGACCTGCCACAAATAATACGCATAAAGACATTGCAACAGTTCAGCGAGGCCAATTCGGGCATTCTCTTTTGCACAGATGTTGCGGCCAGAGGACTCGATCTTCCGTATATAGAAAAGATAATTCAATACGATCCACCGTTAGATTTGTTGGATTATGTACATCGAGTGGGAAGAACCGCCAGGTTGGGTAAAAACGGAGAATCAATCATATTCTTATTACCGAGCGAAATCGATTATCTGAACGTGCTAAGCAGCATAAAACCCGAAGCGTTGCAAGTGGAATCCATATTGGAGACTTTGGCGTCGTCAAAGCATAAGGAATATGAGGTCGAAGCTACTAATATTCAGTTGGATTTCGAGCGATACGTTCTTTCGGATCCAAAGGTAAAAGTTATATCTTGCAAGTGAAGGAAAGGAAAGGAAAGGAAAAGGAAAAGGAAAAAAACCAAGCCGCTAATAACCCGCTTTCATTAATTTCGCATTTCTACATTCAAACTTTTATTTAATAGTATACTGAACTTGCTCGTATGGCATTCTTGAGCCATCTACGCGCATACGCTGCCCACCCGTCTTCGGAAAAACATATATTTCATGTTAAAAAATTACACATGGGACACATGGCAAAGAGCTTTGCACTGAGAGACGCACCATCGAACATTGACGTCAATCACAAGAGCATGGAACATAAGAAACGTGTTGGACAGAAAAAGGGAAAAGCTAGTGGCAAGAGAAACGAGCTAGATAATAAGACGGCGGCGTTAAAAACAAAGCGAAAATATGACAACAGTGAATTTGCTGTTCCCGATCTGTCAAATTTATCAGGACCGACTACCAAAAAAAAGAGAAAAAAATAAACAACGTACTATTTATTAAATCACCATTTATTTCCCTTCTTTTTCTTCTTTTTCTGTTTGTCTCCTCCAGTCTTGGGTTTTGCAGTCTCTGTGTGCGTTGAAGGAGTACTTGTTTCAGCGGCAGCCGTTGTTGTCGCGCTACAAAAAGGGGATGAAAAATCGCGAGTTCAGCCACAATTATACAAGTAAACGACTTGCATGGGTTTAGACCACTAGAATAGCGTTCAACCAGAATAACGTCTAAACTCTTAAGGCCATTGTGTGCGCGCGCAACGATTGCAATCAAGATTAATTAATTACCTCTTGCCGGAAATATTGGCGCTACCGGTTCCCCCGATGCCTCCGCCCGCCACGGCGGCACCTTGAGATCCTTTGTTTATTTGCTTCTTTCTCTTGCCTCTGAATGTTGATCTCTCTCTCTTTGGCAGCCAGCGTTCAGGATCTGGAGGAACATTGGGATCATAGTTTTTAGGCAATAATGGCTTGCGCTTATGTTTCTTCTTTGTTGTTGTCTTTGAAACGTCATCACTTGTGAGGAAATCGAATTGTTGTATAGTAATATTGAGGACAATACCGTTAACACAAAAATCACAATGACAATACCGAAAAATCACATGACGATATACAATGACGATATACAATACCTTTTAGCATCGGTTTTCTTGTAAGCTTTTCTGACCCCGGGAACCACGTTCTCAAGTTTGTCAATGTCTGCAACAGACTTTGTGTCTAACGGAGGCAGACTACTCTCGTGACTTTCGGCAGAAGATATGTCGTAATTAGCCAGAGCCATTATATAACCCGCAATAGCTTGAGAATCGCTGGGATTTGCTTTAATCAATTGTTTATAATCCTCGGCCGCTTCTCGGAATCGCTCAGTCTTCAACTTGAAAGCAGCCGTCTGTCGAAGGATTGATAAACTTTGGTTTGTCTAGGAAATCGAAAAGATTTTTTTTTTTTTTTCGTTGAGCAATACGGGTTCTCGCAAGTGCATTTCATTTGTCGTGAATGTCATACTTACCGGACCGCTGGCTTTCCAAAATTTCTCTGCTTTCTCCAGCGCTTCGATAGACTTGTCAGACAGTCCTGCTTGTTCATATAACCAAACCAAGAGTCCAACAACGCCCGGTCTGTATTTGTCTGCGCATTCCCCTATAGCCGTCAAATATGTGTTGAGCGTGGCTATCGCGGCCGTAACATTAGATTGTTGAAGTTGTAACTGAACAAGAGCGAAATGTATAAGCAACGATTTTGGTTTTTCTTTGGCGAATTCTTGTAAATCTTGAATAGCTTTTGTAGTCTTTTTTTGGCGATAAGATACAGCGGCAAGTAGAATATAGTGCGAATCATCAGCCGGGTCAATTTGTAAGATTCTCCGTGCAGCTTCTTGTGATGCGGCGTACTACAGATAAGCCAACAGTTAGTCAAACTTGCAAGCACGGAGAAATAAATGTTTATATGATCATGCATTACATTATCGTAATTTAGGAAATATTACAAGTCTATGTTATTACCTTTTGCATATACAATTGAATCAACGCCTCATTCGTGCAAATTGTTCGCCTTTGTTTCTTGAATAATTTGGTTTCCAAGCTTTTTGATGATGCGGATCGAAGTTTACGAGAGGAGTCAAACACGTCTTGATCCTTTTTAAGAGCGGCCAGGTTATTCGACGCCACAGCTGATATGGTTATGTCTATCGTTCTATGTTTCAGCACCGATTGGTAGAGTTCAGTCGCCTCGGCCGCTTTGCCTCTGAGTTGATATAAATAGGCTAATTGGACAAGTACGGTAGAAAGTTCTTGTTCAATCTCTTGTTCTGTGTAATCTTCTTCGGCAAGGGATTGTCGACAGAGGCCTATTAATAGTATTGAACAAACGCGATAGTAAAATTGATCGTATATTTATGCATACACGGAACATGAGATGAGTGGAAAGCAAACGTACTTTTAGCTGTGTTTAGTAGCTTTTCTGCTCTGTTCAGATTATACACTGTTATTTGTCCGCATGCAGAATTATAAGCAAGTTCATATGTATTTGTCACGTCTGCCAATGCATACTATAATGATAGGCGCAATCAACTGCTATTAAAATTTAGCGAAAAAAAAAATCAACGTAGCAAGAAAACACTATCGTACCTTTGCGGGTAACTTTCCATCAGCAAACAATAATGCTGCCTTTGCTGCAACAAAGTTTGTCAGAATGTCGTTGTAAGCATCATCATTCTGTTAATAATTAAATGAGGGACTTTTAGCTCAAATCTTGGACACGCAACAAAATTTATAAACGAAAATGAGAGACCTTGTCAGTTCCATTAACGAATTCATTATATAAATCAAGGCAAGTTGTAAAGTCTTCTGATCTGTATGCCTAAATATTCGCAATAGATTAATATGCTTTTTCTCAACGCTAAACAAATCTTTCAAATCATCGCTATGCCTATTACCAACCGCCTGCGCCTTTAAATGACCCAATTCACGCTTTCCAGAGGTATTGAATTTGGTAGTAAGCTCCAATACTTCAGACCATCGATTCAGTCGATATAAACAGTAACCTCGTTCGAAAATTAGTTGGTCTTCGACAAAATGATTTGTTACAACGTCCAGTGCATTCTGATATTTTTCAAGTTTAATCAGTGTTATCACTTTACAATGTAGAGCATCGACATCGTTGGGGTTTTGTTTAAGTACTGGATAAATGAGGGAAAAGGTCAGAATGCAAATCAAATGAGAAGATAACAAATTACATGAACTGCAGCGGGCATACTTTTGTCGATATGTTTGAGTGCTTTATTGTAATCAGCTTGGTTGAGCAATCGGTCTAATTCGGCAAATAATTGTGTGGCATTGTCTTTAGATGACTGCATTTCTGTTGAATTCTTTTCCCTGATGATTTAGGCTAAAGTACGATTGCATGGGCTGATCATAATCACGTGTGAATGCATCGTCCCACTTGCAACTTTTTGCTTGAAAAGTTCTGCAATTCCACACGTACTTTAATTATTGTATGATCAACGCACACGATAAACGTATTGCTACACATTTTAATAATCAAAAGCGTTAATATTAATATTAATACCTTTGTAATAATTATTATATTAGTTAAAATGCTCTAATAACACCTCTACTAGAAACAATTAAAAAATGGACTTTATAACATCTATTTCTATTTGAGCTCGTACAATAAACGTAATTGCAATGAGCTAAACTATAACAAAAGGACTGGGCATCAAAGTCTTCCTCTCCGATTATTCAAGTAATCAAAGAATTTTTTTTTTTAATAATTCAAGGGTAATTTTGGTGGCAGTTCTCTCCGTTGTTATCACAACAAGCACATGTGCATGTTTGAGTGTTCCGGCTGTATATGCATACTTCAGTTCCTGCAAATAAGTAAGACAAAGTTTTATAATTTAGATTACAGTTTACAAGTATACAGTACATATAAATAACAGAGATAAGATATGACGGCTAATTATAATTACCATCGCAGAAAGGTGCTGGATCAGGACAAGATCCTGCATTGACGTTTGGTACCATATTGGCAAACAAAGCAAGAGCGATCAACAGGAGAATGATTTTTGAATTCATGGTTACTTTTTTGTTGTTGAGCTTGAAAGGGCCAGTTTGGACTTTCTTTTATATTTGAACAAGCATCCTGTACGGGCAATCGAATTGATTTCGGTTATGAACAAATCAAGAAATTCCGAAATTAATATCCGCACTGTCAAAAGCTGACAACGTTCTTTTTCCTAATAAACGACTTCTCAAAAAGGATGAAAGGAGTAATTTAAGTCCATAAAGTTATTATTCGCTGACAATAATGCTCCAGTTGTATATATCTACAAACGTACGGACGTCGAGAAAGTGATCATCAGCGTCTCGAATACAAGAATAGCTAATTAATTGGGTGGCCGCTTGCGTCATGAGAGTATAATTGATCTTATCGTATTTTAAACATGCCATCTAAGCACATTCGATACGAGCGGAATGATAGCGAGTAACGACGAGTTCATTGTATTAGTAAAATACCTGCATACTAATGCCACAACGAATATGAAACTTTCGCATTGAATTCATAAAATTTTTATTAGAATATAAATTTTAGGGCTTCGCCTTTTCGGTAAAATAAAATCTGTACGCCCCATGCATTGTCTACCCGTACGCCCCATACATTTTCTACCTGTACCAGCGATCCAGCATTCAAAATAGAATCAGTTCACAGTTATGGTATTTATTCAAACAATTGAATATCTTAATTTGACAATCAATTTTAACACACGCTTAGATAAGCCATTATAACTTACATGACAAGCTAGAATTAGAAGCAATGCTTCTTTGGCAGTTATACCAATAATTATTATTATAGTTTTATATGCGCGTGTCGAAAATGCTGTCAACATTTTGGAAGAAAAAGGTAATTGTCATGCGCATATTCATTCTTATGTTGCTAGTTCATTTCCCCGACAGCGCACCTCCCCGACAATTATTCCTCGCCGATTCCTGTCGAGATTATCTTTTACCGGTTCGATATAGATATTGAAACGTAGACTGATAATAACATAATTGACTAAACTCTATTCGCATGTTAAATACACCTTTCGTGGTATGTATGGTATGGTAAATGATTAACTGAAAAAGGTAAGTATACAAAATCGAAAGCAAGCATCCGGGTATAGTCTTTAAATGGAAAAGATGAGTTCAAATTTCTACAAAATTATGAAGTTTTAAGTAAAGTACTTAATTTGATGTAATAGTAAGGAGAGGGTACTTTGTTGGAGGGGAGATTGTACCAGTACTGTATCCGTGTAAAATACCCACCCCATATATGCACGTTGGCAATATTCTCGTCAACTAAACATTACGCAAAAACCAATACTGTTCGCAGAGTAGATTAAATGAAAGTTCGCCGTCGTTTGGGTGTGTGATTGGGAGAAACTTGATGGATTACGATATCTAGACTCTTAATTGCGATTCATATATTAGGATGCACGCTCGTTATTGTATAATTTCAGTACCATGTTAAAGGGGGGGGTACTTTGCATGAACCTGTTCGTTGATAATACCCCGGATATTTTACTTGATGACATTTATTTCTTCAAGCATAGTATTTGGGTCTTTTACAAACCAGACCACAAAATTTATTTGCTCAGGGAGTACTTTAGTCAGAGAAATACTGTATGGTAATCGGCCGCAGTGGCAACATAAAGCACAAAGTAATTGTGCATATGCTTTTTCGTGAAGAAAGAGCAGCTTTTTATTAAGTGAGATGACGGACGTCATTATTAAATACAGGAGTGAGTTACGTGTATTTGTGTTACACTTAATGTTTATGTCCTTTCCGAATTAAATCGAATATTGCAGAGAATTAGTAACATTATAACATACAGTACTTGACATCATAATAAATAATATTAACTCTGCTGCTCCATAACTAAGTAGCGTTCATTCTATTAATCACCCAATGTTTTAATTTTATGAAACAATCAATAGTACTGGTTATGCTTGAATGAGATTATGTATATGTAACCAGAGAAATTATTCGCTTGACCATTGATACAAAAAATTTGATCATCTTAACATCTCTCACAGATAGAGATGGTCAGTTGCATTCATACGTAACAGCTTCGTTTAATCGACAAAGTACACAGCTTATCATACATTGTTAAAATGCAGTGTAATTGACCATCAACGTTGTATTAAACTTGAGCGTTGACATATGCAATTTGAAAGTACCAGTAACTGCAACAAATTGCATCGAGAATTTGGTTAACAATAAGCAATGACCAATATTTAATAGATCAGGCATTGTTGTGTGATACGAAACATCCTTAATCATCAATGAATATGTCTCTTATACCATTACTTTAGTGTGTGCGCATGTCTATGTCCAGGAACTTGATTTTGATAAGACAAGACTGGACTGAGTAAAATACAAACTATATTTATAATTTTGCTATAATTCTAATCTGATACATATGTCAGTTCCGAACATAGATTCCGATTTGACATACAAAAAATGCGTGCTAGTGTACCATTGACATCATCTTCAACCTGATTTCTATTGTATTCAATGTATACGTCATCGGAACTGTAACACGGCGTTTTATTTCTTCCCATTGGTGCCATCTAATACTAATCAGATTAGGATCGGCTAAATTATTAAGCAAATTATCTGTGCGGCAAATTCTCTCGTTGTAGTACTTGTCATTGCGCAGAGTGTCCTCGGCACTTTACCCGTCATTTAATTGCATAGCTACCAGCCTAACTACCAATGGAGGAACTCATTAATAATTAGTCAGGCAACTATTTTTGTTCGAATAACTCTCATTAAGTAGACATTGACAGCATCATAAATTGCGATGTTAATTTTACCATTCTATTGAATCGCTGCATATCGTCACGCGTAGTTTTTCGATACCTCTTCAAGGACGAATCTGTAAATAACAACGATCGTAATAACAACAAAGAATGTCGGTCACAGATGTTTAACAAAAAATTATAACAACAATAATAACGGAAACGGGATGTTATAAGTAAATAATAACAATTATGAAGAACAAGGTTACAGATATAATTTGTATTACTATAACATGATCGTAACACCAACATGCAAATTTTTTGGATCACTATAACATTTTATCATAACGACAGGAGTCAGACCTTTTAAATTCAAGTAAGAATAAATATTAGCTATGTTAACTATGTAAGGCAACGATGACATGACTTTGGTACTATTTATTAATTTATGCATTGTAATAATGAATATTGCAAAGATTAAAACAAGGTTTAAAAATCGTATACGGTCTTATATACGGACAATGTATTAATACGAAATAACAAAGTTATGTTTGGTAAGAACACAACAAAATGTTACTGTTAAGGTCACACATTACATAACCCGCAGTAATTGATAAATTCGATGGAAGATAAGAAAATTTTTTAGGGATCGACGGGTGGTACGACATTTGCATACATCGATCGTTTTATGATAACGGGATATTTATACACGACATACACAATGATTTTCTTATGAGATATTGTTTTGTTCGAATCAGTCTAAGATTTGGAAAAAGTAATGTGGAGTATGCATATAATATGTGTGTCGAAGATCCAATTGCAGGAAATCGTCCAAATAAAATATTTATAAGTTTCCTTTTTTGAATAAGAATTATTACTTTTAGTGTAGGCGAACAAATTTTTGACATATGATCTGTTTACGCCAAGATTTAGATTGTTTGACATTTTCGGATGAAGCAAACCTTAATTGATCAAACAATTTATTACGTTAGCGAAGCATTAGCAAAGATGTTCACAAGTTTCCAAGGATGGGAAACCGCTATCTACTGCGCGTAATCGTCTAGAACAGGTATATATATATTAGGCCGCTAGCATTGAGCAAGCCGTATCAGTAATAATATTTTTCCATCCCGAATCTCGAGTCGTGTTCGACAAACCACTCTCCTTTCCCTCTCACTAGTTTTCACTCTCAAAACCGGCTCATGTCTAATACTACCAACGCAGATCTTGGTTCCCGCGAGAAGGGTCTCAAGCACAAAAAAAAATCCCAAAAGAAAAAATCCCAAAAGAAGGTGTCTCGACCCTGGTTCGTTATTGCGATCATAATCAATATCTTGATGATATTGGTTTCCGCGTATATACTTTACAGTTGGCATGAGGTATGCTGATTCTCCATCGACCAAATTGCTCATACCGTTCAACCGTCGTGTACTCTAACCGTTTTCTATTTGCTGCTTGCGATTTTCATACTCTAGTTCGGTCTGGTGAACGCTCGATACAAGAATTACATTTTGGCATATGCAGGCGCTGATGCCCTGGTTCGGGTCACACTCATTTTACTGGCTTCGCAAAGACACGGGTCTGACTTTGCAGTACAAAATGCGCTCGGGTTTCTAATCGGTAAGATGCGCATGTATGACTTGCATTAATCCTATTGAATTAGAGCAATTTTTTGTCTCTGATCCAAAACCTTCTTCATTTTAGGGAGGGAAGACTATTACCTTTTATTCCATTATAAAAAACACAAACGTCAAATGATTCGTGATGTCCTTAGATTGAAAGCCGTAGTGGCTTGGTTCGCAATATGCGGAATGATTGGTTGGGTATACGCAGTCAGGGCTGCCATGGATAAGCAGAATACCATTTTATCGTATGTCTCGTATGCGGGCGCTGGTATAGTGGGACTTTATTTGATGCTGAACATCTTTGTGTTCAACTGTTACCAGTCTATGAGATATACCATTCGCATCAATGGAAAGGTGGCCAAGAAAGGTGGTGGAAGGGTTCATCATCTGGTAGTAGACGATGACAGTGATAATGACAGTGACAGTGATAATGATAATGATAGCGATAAAGACAATGATGACGATGGGAACGATGATGACGATGGTAGTGATGGTAGCGATGGTGATGATGGTGATGATGGTGATGATGGTGATGACGGTGATGATGGCGACGATAGCGGCGACGATGGCGGCGACTAAGAGGTAATAATTTATATAGAATTTTTGTCGTTATAGAACATTTAGAACGCGAATATATCGTTTATTAATAGCCAGTTGATGTAACAGTAAATTGCAACATTAAATTTCATTTAGAAAATACCCATTTCTAGATCTTGACACGTCGTGTTTCACTTGTGCTAAAAAGCCCAAATCTTGAATTAAAATCTTACAATGCGTCAATTCGCTTGAGATTGTTCTCTTTCATTATTGTATCTTTCGACGATTACGTTGTCTTAGCTTTATGGATAATAACAATATAAAGACGTTTTTGTAAACTACAATAATCGACTCCATCGTACCGAAACGTAATTGCATTCTTTTGCACAAGGAAGCTTGTAAATTAACAAACGATGATTGTATAACAAAACTTGTGGCTCTAAGGCATTATTCTTAATTGTAGAACACAATCTTATTTGCAAACCAAAGAATAATCACTCGTCATTGCACACTACCAGGAGACTGAAAAAGTTGAAGTAAGAAAGTTTCTTACAACCACCACTATTAACGTAATTTTCATTGTTATACGTTTCTTCCCGTTTTATGTAATCAGGTGACGTCATTCCTTAAATTGAATACCATATCCTGTAATAGCATTAGGCAGTTCGTGGTTATGTCATAGACGAAGATAATGTGGACAATTGTTACGTAGAGTAAACATATCAATTCTAAAACCATTTACTCCGCTTCATCCCATTTTTTAGCACATTCATGTTAAGGTTGTCAAAAAAAGGGAATATTAATATGCACTCAATTGTGGGAAAAAATTTTATATTAGAAAGTGTTTCTCAGATACAAGTGACACAGACACGTGCACAGCTAAAGAAATGCAACTAACACAAACAATAAAGAACAACTATGTGATGGTCAGTCACTGTCAGATTAAAGTTAGCAGCAAACAGTGAATAATTGGATAGCTCGCAATAAGTTTGTATACCCACAAAGAATTGCAAACACAAAATAATGGCATCAGCCAAAACAGGAAGCATTAAAGGTACTTCCATATTCGTGATTATATGCTTGTTAGAGCAATGCGAGACATATTAAACCAGCGGATAATTTTTTGCCTTAAGGATGGATACAATTACGACAAGCTTGTAAGTTTTGGCGCTTTAGGTTATCGGGATGAAGTAGCCTTCTTTTGATGTTCTCTGCAGACAAAGACATTGTCTCCGTAGCATTAGCTTTTTCTCCCTAACATACCTCTCGAGAATATTTACCATTTTTATGTGTTCACTTGCATTTTCTTGTTACAGTAACAGTAAAGATGTTTGTACAGTTTCAAAGCGTTGTAATGCCTCACTGAGTACTAATAGATTATTTTTATTAACGGCAAAGTTTCAGTACAATCCTCTAACTAACAATCAAATTATTACGGAATATAGATATTAAGATGTTCATTTGATGTCTAAATAAATACATGACCCGGCGGGATGATTATAGCACGGGCATATTCATTGCGTGACACATTGTAAACACCGGTCCCTCCATCTGCTCTTCCGTTATCCGTTCTCGTTACCATAACTCGCTATTAATTCAACATGTTCATACGAACGCAATTCCTCCGCATGTTCCAACCACATTGTACGCAAAGACTTTCATTCGCTTTCAAACGTACCAAGAGTAAGAGTACAAAAAGGGAACTCAGTGAAGAACTAAAACAGCTCAGAGGTGATGACTTTGTGAATCAGGTTTTCCCGTGGGAATTCAAAATCGCCCCGTTTTGGGACATAGATCCGAGTTTTTGATATTATGATCTATGATTTCTATATTGGTATTCATGTGTCAATACTTCTTATTTTAAACGAAATAGTTATTTCTCCGCCATTCATTGCTTTCAGTTGAGCCATTAAAAATATGTCTTGTTCGGAATTAGAGAGAGCTTGAAACGCTTCACGTAATTCGGCAAACCTTTCTCTCGGAATCATTTTTGAGCAACCACATTTGCAACCCGTCTCTAAGAAACGTATCGCTTTGTCATATTCAGTAGAACCATTATAATTATAATTTTTCATATACGGGTAATCCTATATATAATTTTATCACTTTGCAAGTTTTTATTCAAGCCATTGTAGCGAAGGAAAAAAAAACTTCTATTATTATTATTTCTCAATAAAGTTGCTAAGCAAGATGTGATAGATTTGTTTGTATTCCATTTTTTGACCAATTCCTATCTTATTACTAATTAACTTCAACGTGACAACACAAGTCTGCTATTCATTATTATTATAGGAATAACATTGATTCCCTCCATCATAATTAGGCTGTTTGCTGATCTATCCACCCTATTATTTTATCGATCCATAATGAATGATCTGGAAGACGGTGTAACTTGTTGTTAATAGTGTGTTCCTCACATTCTGCGTTTTCACTATAATTAGTATCACTTAAATCCTCATCTCGTTCTGACCTGTCATCAATATTGTCCTGATTTTCTCCACTAGCAGACAATGTAGTAGGTGTTGATATAATATGGTTAAAAACATGTCGGAGGACTCTCAACAATAACAGATCGCGAGAATTATAAGGTCCAGTTTTATAAATACTGAGTTCACCCTCAGATTTTTCCCCCTTGAAGATAAACCAGATTTGGCCGTTGGTAAGGATGCAATACCTATGTTTATTTGAAAGCGATTATCAAGATCTTCCACTAGATCATCAAGTGGTCCCAAAATTTGCGGCATTCTTTTACGCCAGCTTCCAGCATCCAAACTATTAAGAGATTTCATTTCAATAGAACATCGTTTGACTGAAGAATTTCGTTCTGTTATTTGCAAGTCATCCCTGCCCTTGAGTTTAAATCGATCTGACCGAAATTTCTGTTGGCTTGTTCCTAAAGCAATAGGAGATCCAACCAATAGAGCATTCAGGATGGTTACTGTATCGCCTGTTAGAAGAACTTCATTTCCTGTAATACGACTTGCTTCGATAACTGATAAGTGATCCAAAATAGAAGCATGCGTAGCTTTTTATTTTAGTAAGTCATCTTCATTCGGAAAGCTTTCCTCGCTTTGTGGCTTCGAATTTTGATGGATTTGCAGTACTAGCAGCAGAATACAGTGGTGTGCAAAAAAAATGACAATTGTTAAAACTACGCTGGCTTTACAACGAGCAAACTAATATATGAGTATAATACACCATTTTAAAGCTTGAAAGCAGTAGATTTTTATTACTATAAATTAATAGGATATTCGTTTACCCATTTTTCAATAACCTCTCTACAACGTCGCTTTATTGAATCGACCAAATTGATTAGAAGGCTATCCGGGATATTATTCCACTCTTCGACCAAATACTTCTCCAATTCACTGAGATTTTGAGGCTTACGTTTTTCCATATTTCTTTTAACAACTGCCCAGAGGTTTTCAATGGGATTTAAATCTGGACTGTTGGAGGGCCAGTCCATTACTGTAGGAACATTTTTCTGAAGAAAGAAGTCTTGTGGAAAATTCAATGTCGGCCCGGGAAATTCCTTAGCAATGCGACTAGTTATGCTTAGAATCGTTGTCTTGCTGTAGTCGCCATTTGCCTTTCAGTATGCTCCTTACCTCTGGCAGACGCATTTCTAGAATCTCAGTGTAATATTTTGCATCCATTATTTGTCTAAAACAAAATAAGGATGTCTTGCCTTTTGCGCAAAATCCACCCCATGCGAAGATTTTGCGTCGGTCCTTTGGTATTGGCCGAATTGGTCTCACATCCCTATACCATTGTTTTATTGTATTGCGAAACAGTTGGAAAGAAGTCTTATCACTAAATAAGGTCTTATTCCAATTATCATCTATATGCTTTTTGGCCCATTCGATACGCTTTTGCTTATGATCCGATGTGAGCATAGGAGTATTAAGAGGAAGTGCATTTCGATACCCATGATCTGTCAAATGCCTTGTTACAGTTGAGCGTGAGACTTCTACTCCAATGTTTTCTAACTTATCCGCAATTTCTTTTGCAAAAAGTATGGGATTTCTCCGAACATATTGGCCGATTGCTCGAGAGGCGTCAGCTGTTATTTTTTTATGACGGCCATTACCTCCTTTATGTTTTATATCACCAGTTTCATCGAGTTTTTTGAGATTACAGTATATAGTTTTGAGTAAAATCTTTGTCAGAGAGTGGATTTCAGAAGCATTGCGCGTTCCCTGCTTCCAGAATTGTAATATTATTTGACGTTGGTCTTCTTGTTTAGATAGAGCCATTTTATAGCGAAATAAAAATAAGAGTTGAAGGATAATTGAAATAATAAAGCGCATAAAACGATAACACAGTAACCAAGCTTTTGTTTTTATTTTACATGACGCGATTTGGTCCGAAATTGGGAAAGTTACGTATACACAAACTGCGTAAAACATTTTGTCATTTTTTTTTGCACACCACTGTACATTCTCTACTATTCACTCTTGTGATACTGACCAGAAAAGTAAAATTTTGTATGAGATATAAAACAAACAAAGCCACCCGTTGGTTGAAATTTTTCATTTTAAATAGCGTTCGTTGGCAAGTAAATTGGTATAATAACGGCAGAACAGAATGCTAAAAGATTTGAATTGTTCTATTTGCTGACTAGTTTTTGTCAAAAAAAAATCACTTTCAACGTTTTCATTAAGGTGATATACACGTCTGTTAACATGTCTTTGTGTAATTTCCAATGATACCAAATTAGGTTTATCAATCTAGGGGCCACATCCACAACAGAATTGTTACAAAACTATTGTACAAACGCTAGATTTGTATGTCTCCATACAATGTATGAGTTATACAGCACACATCAATTAGTAATTTGTCATTCTAAAAATTCTCACCAGACACGAAAAACGTTAATCTGCTGGTTCTATTAATAGTTATTCCCCGCTGATTATCGTATTGTTGTGAACACAGAATCTTGTACCGATTAGGAATAGCTACTGTTTACTCTTCAAGCGAAAAAATGCATGTTAGACCAATCCAACCTATTGGAGACCGAATAACCGTCTATTGGATTCGACAATAGACAAAAGTCTCCGGATAGTTTAATTTTTTCGAAATAATAAGCATGAAAATTTGATGCATCAATTCGCCTATAATGCAAACTTACGCTTTTTTTTATCTACTCTCCATTAGATTGACGCACAGTTTGAGATTTGCTTCATTCGCATTCAAAGCCACCATTAGTCTGCGCCTTTACTTTTAGTACCTTCCGTTATGAATATGCTTATTACAGTTCACCCCCATAAGCGTTCAATGGATGGTTAGTAGTCAAGCATTTCTAATATTGCTTTAAAATTTGTTATTCTGATGTAATAGTTTACGTATTTTTGTCAACATAAAATGTCAATCTTATTATGACAACTCATTCTCAAGAATATCGTTTGTCTTTTTTTTATCTTGCAGAATTATTCGAAAAACCATTTATTGCTCGTCATAGATTGAACGTATGATTCTGATCGATTAATAGTATAACGAGACTCTGTTATATTATAATAACTTTGCTATACCAATAAACTGTTCAAGTAATGAATTTATTATGTTACAGTTTTATTGAAACAGTTTTGTAACCACTTTAGATACAAAATTCATTGTCCGAAATTATTCAGTTAAGAATAAACAGAAATTTTATTGTACAAAATATAAATAACTTGACATTCTTTTATCACTATTATTTATCAATAAGTTATAATAATACAAATATGTCATCATTACAATATCCACTTTTACATATGGCCGAACACATAAATTAAGACAACAGTCACTGTCAGTAACTTGGCGGATAATTGCATCTGCGTTTTAGAAGCGACACTTGTTTTACCACCAGAACCGCTGCCAGAACTGCTACCGCCACTAGAACCACCGCCAAAGCCTCCACTTCCACCGGAACCACTTCCACCGGAACCACTTCCACCGGAACCACTTCCACTTCCACTACCGCCAAAGCCGCCACCTCCACTAGAACCACCCCCACTTCCATTTCCACTCCCACTTCCGCCACTACCACTGCCACTACCACTGCCACTACCACATTTGTTATTAGATAGACAAGTTTGGTAAGAGTAACAGCAACCATGGGGACCGCAAGGTATATCTTGACTGGTGCAGGGTATGTTGCATTTTCCGCCAGCTAAACAAGTCGAGCCCGTAGGACAACAACCAGAACCATCTGGACATGGAGAATAATTTGGATCGCCGCAGCTGTTGATAGTAGCGTATTCGGTAGAAAGTACTTTGACATTGCCGATAAAACTCCTTGTTACAAGATACGTGCTGTTGTATCTACTTTGTAGCTGAGACGATGTAGCGGAAGTGAAGATGACAGCAGCAAGAACGAGTAATAGTGCGAGAGCCTTCATGATGAACGTTGAAATGGGAATTGATGGATGGCGCTACCCTAGTGTAGAATGGTCATGATACTCCGCTTTAAATAACAATCTCTGTTTTGCAAGCTACTACCCCCTCTGTGATACTAAACAAAAAAGTAAATCACTGAATGAGACAAACAAACGAAACCATCACTTGGTATAATGGTTATGAGTGCGGTTGAAAAGAATTTTGAAATAGTGTTGATAGGCTATTGAATATAATAAAGACAGAAATACGTGCTAAAAATTTGAAATTGTTTTATTTGCCGACTAGTTTTCGTCGAAAAGAAAAAATTACTTTTAACGTTTTTATTAAGTTGATACACACGCCTGTTAACATGTCTCTGTTTCTATGCAGAAATTTCTACTGATGCCGAAATAGTTTTTGCCAAATCCAGGGGCACAGCCTCAACAGAATCGTGTTATGGCAAATGATAAATAAACTATTGTACAACCGCCAGATTTGTATGTTTTCATACAATGTATGAGTTACATAGCACATCAATTAGTAATTTGTCGCTTTAATCTCATTCTAAAAATTCTCACCAGACACGAAAAACCGTTAATTTGCTGGTTCTATTAATAGTTATTCTCCGCTGACTATCGTATTGTTGTGAACACTGAATCTTATACAAATTAGGAATATCTACTGTTTACTCACACCCTGTACCGTCAGTGGCACCACAGTATCCAAATGCGTTGCAACGCTGAGTAGGCGAAAAAATGCATGTTAGACATTTCAAACTATTGGAGGTCGAATAACCGTCTATGGGATTCCACAATAGATAAAAGTCTCCCGACAGTTTAATTTTCTCGAAATAGTTAAACAGTTGGATTTGTTTGTATAAACTTTATTCGACATGATAACATATGTGTGCAGAAAAGGGTGGGAATATTAGAGCTTGTGTATTTGTGCGGTATAAGATTAGACATTGGAATTTGAAATGTGGGTGCTTCTAATCTAAAAAATAATTGCAGAATTATGGTTATAATTTTCCGCCGATATATAATTATTACTTTTTCTGTACTACCATTAATGTATTTGAGAAATTACGTTATAACTAAGGACAAAACTGGGGTGCGGGAAGCACTTGTCTAATACGAAATATGATGTATTGTGTGAGTAATGGTCCCTGAGCGTCAGGAATGAGACAAGGGACTTGAACCCTCACGCTTTAAAGGCACAAGAATTTCATTTTTGCGTGTCTATCATTTCACCAATCCCGCAAGTTTTCTTATAACCAAATTTTAGCAATAACTAACTAGGCAAGTGTAAAACTTATAAACATGTAACGTAACGCATGTTTGTTAAAGACGAACACTTGGCGGTAAATTAGTTTGGTTTTAAATTTTGTTTGTGATATTTGAGATAATCATTGCACACTCATTTTGGAAAATCGAAATAAGCAAATAACCGTTTTCTATTGAGAGAGAGGGCATTGCAACAGTGCGGTTGATTGTATTGCAAAGAACGAACAATATGTAAAAACTTATCTTTATATAGTCTGTAGTATTGTCTAAAGTTTGTATCGAGTTGTTCGAGATATGTTTCCAAGTCTAAATTTCTTCGAGCATATAAGAAAATTTTGTATTTGCATATTGTCTTTGTGGTTATCGTAAGAAAAGAGGGGCATCATTTAGTGGTAACCATATGGTGTATCGAAATATGATGAAATTGCCATTTCCATTGCCATTGATTTTATATTGTTTGCGCGCCTATATTTTTACATACGACAGTTATGATATCTCCATCATATGGCCTTTACGATCACAATATAACTGTACATATTTTTATCGTATGACTCTTTGCAATTCCATTTCGAGGTATAATCTTTTTTAACAACAATGGCTGTTGTACGTTTAGATCGTATGTCGTAACAGTGAGTATGTACATAATGCAGAAGACGTATCGTTGATTTAAATAGCAGTTTTTAGATTGTGTGAATGTTTGATCATACCAAATGAAGCATTTTGTGGTTACTTTGGCAGTGCTATCATAACCAAATAAACTATTGTTGGACAGTGAATGCATGCATCGCTGATTTAAACAGTAGTTTGACAACAATACAGAATAGTTTACTTTGGAAATGTATCGTAAGCTAAAGTTGGCTTTTTTTTTTGAAAGAAATTCGTTTGTCTCATAATGATTTCAAAACGATCAAATATGGTAGCACATGTAAAATACAATTTTACGCAACCGTTTGTTTTTTAAAAAAAAGTTTCTCTCGTCTTGTGAATAATAATAATAATTAATATCGATATGTATATAAATAATAAAAGAACTTCATTTCAGGAGTCTTTACTGAATTTCGAGCCCAAGTTTTAATTTTCACCGTAAATTACACCGCCAAAGCACGTTGATGAATAAAAAATAAAACTCCTGCAAGAAAGAATAAATTTTTTTTCATAGACTAACCAAGCCGCAAAAAAAAGTCCACCTTTAGTTTAATCTTAACCATACATTAATGGATTTTTTCAGTAAGATTTAGTGTCTAAATAGAGATCAAAATCATTCAAAAAAAATTTAGCGTAATACATGTGATCTTATATTAGTGTTAAATTGCTCAAGGAAATGAATTTATTATGCAAGAGCTCTATTAAAACCTTGCTCAACGTTACATAGCACTTTAAATATTAATATAGAATTTCATTGTTCAAAATTATTCAGTTAAGAATAAACAGGTTTTCAGAAAAATATTTCGATAAAGTAAACTATACTAATACTGCGTATATATTAATGTGTTTTTCTTCATATCAAAGTTTGATAAGTAAATGATTAAAGATTTGAGTCACTAAGTGATAGGATAATAAGCGACAACGTATTGTACAGATAAATAATTTGACATTCTCCCTCATAACGAATCAATATTACAATAATATATAAATTTGTCGTTATTAGTTACAAATGGCCGAACACATAAAGTAAGACAACAATCACTGTCAGTAGCTTGGCGGAAAATTGAATCTCTGTTTTAAAAGCGCCACTGCCACTGCCAGAATTGCCACTGCCACTGCCGGAATTGCCGCTGCCAGAACTGCCACCAGAATTGCCACCGCCACCAAAACCGCCACCACTGCCACCAGTACCACCACCACTACCACTGCCACCACTACCACTGCCACCAGTACCACTACCATTGCCACCAGTACCACTGCCACCAGTACCACCACCACTACCACTGCCACCAGTACCACTGCCACCACTACCACCGCCACCATTACCAGTAGTACATTGAAAACCGGGAGAGCATTGTGTGCCTTTGGGACAACATCCACCTTGACTATCCGTACATGCAAAATATCCAGGATTACAAGTGGTACCTCCACCTCCACCTCCTCCAGTACCTCCACCTCCTCCAGTACCTCCACCTCCTCCGCCAGTTCCTCCACCTCCTCCGCCAGTACCTCCTCCACCTCCTCCGCCAGTACCTCCTCCACCTCCTCCGCCAGTACCTCCTCCACCACTGCCGCCTGGACCACATGAGGAGCCAGATTGACAAACTGTGCCAGGGGGACAGCAACCATTAGTGCCGCAAGGTGTATCTTGACTAGTGCAGGGTACGTCGCAGTAGCCGCCAGCTAAACACGTCGCGCCTGCAGGGCAACAACCGCTGTTATCTGGACATGGGACATAATTTGCTGGAGCGCCGGTACAGAGGCCTTTTGTATTGTTATATCCCGTAAGGAAAATTGTAAGAGATTTTATACCAACGCTCCTTGCTTCAAGATACGTAAAGTCGGATATACGTTGCAGCCGGGATGATGTGGCGGAAGTAAAGTTGATTGCGGTAAGAGCGAGAAATAGTGCGAAAATCTTCATAGTCAACGTTGAAATGGGGAGAATTGATGACGATACCCCAATGTAGAATGGTCTACTTAAATAACGATTTATATACCTGTTCTGCAGACTACAAACCCCCTGTAATACTAAACAGAAAAGTAAATTTTGATACAAACAACGCAGCGTGGATGCATTGAAAGATTTCATCATCAACAAAAAGAAACTAGAAGCAACAGCAATAATTAAAGAATGACGTTAGTAGGCAATTGGATATAATAAACGCAGAAGAAAGTTTGGATAGTTTACTTGCTGACTTACAAAAGAAAATTAGTGTTAATGTTTCATTAAGTTGATACTTAAAAATGGGGTTTTTGAATCGGTTCTACCAAATCAGGGGGCAGATTGTGCTACGGCAGATGAAGACAAACAATTCTGCAATTGCACAAACGCTCTAGCTCCACACTAACATCAAATTACAAATTACACAGTCTGTCACCGACCTCTAATAACCGACTTATCAAAAATTACCTGATTAATCCTTTTAATCAGTTCTTTTAATGATAATATCGTAACAGTAAATAATCTTGTAGACAGACTTGTTTTAGAGAATCGATTTGCTTTTTTCTTATATGTGCTGGTAATACATTTAATCGAGCAGTGATCGGCCAGTTAAATGAATATGTGTTACGTTATACATTATCACGTAAGACAATGCACTGTTGCTGTGTGACCTCGAAAACTCTAATAATTTGTCACGATAATCTCGCTCCAAATTATCAGAACAAGTTAATTTGCTGGCATTGTCAACTGTTTATTCTCTGGAGATTATCCGGATAACTGTGAATCACTAATCCTATGACAGATTCAAAGTATTTTGTATCGTGGTGGCATTATGACTGTTACTCTCGCCAAACTCAACCTATTGAAAGTATTTACTGATCAAACGCTAGGTTATGAGTAGTAAAGCCTTGCTCAAAGTCATTGACAATCGTTATATATGTATATTAACTAAAGTGCCAGCTCTGTCCAAGTTGACTATCGGGTGCTTTTCTGCTGATTGTGCGCTCCAGACAGTTATTTTACACATAATAATTAGTCCATAAAAATTTGAGCGTCACATTATGTAGTTCACTTGTAATGCAAGCTTACACTCTTTTCGACATACTCTCTATTAGATTTACGCACAATCTGGGATTTGCTTCATTCGCATTCAAAACCACAACTAATACCTTGTACGATAAACTATTTTTTGCACCTCTTTATTATTTGATTTATTATCTTAACCTGATATATGTCCATGCTATATTCCGATGCGATGCTCCGGTTTAGACTTACTAACAACGTCATTACAATAATCACTCGTACGCTACCTTGAAGAAATACAGTAGTCAACACGTGCGGCAAACATATTCGAGAATAGATGAGTACAGTATAATTGCCACCTTTATTTGTTTATCTAATTTTACCGAGCTTAGCGAGAAACATACCAATTACTTTAATTTTATTCAGCATCTTGATTTGGTTGCGACTTTTCAGTTTTTTTTATAATTTTATTTCTTTTTTCATCTTCTAAGTTAATTACTAATACATTTTACGTACTTTGTCAAACACAAACTACATCGAACCAAAAGTGAATGGACATTGAATAGACGGAAGCTTTCTATTCAGAGAATGCATTATCTGATTCAACAAATTACCAGAAATTTGAACCGAATAATGAATGAAATTTGAGTAGAAGGGAGACAGATTTTCAAGTTTAATAAGCATTCGTTCAAATCTCGGACATTGCAGTAGTAAGACGAACTTGACAAAAGGTGTTGTTAAGAGTAACATTTAACGGATCAGACTTATCTAAATCACCTAACTGTAAACACTTCACAAATAGTTTATAATAAACCTAATAATCAATTATAACTTAAGTGGAATAAATCACTATTATTATGTGGATATTGACTAAAGTCATTATAGGTTATGAATCTCTAATATAACGGCCAATAGTAATAGTAAAAAAGGTTTTTTCTGTCTTATGTAAACGGTAAATAGCAATTTTACGTTTTCAGGATGATAAACTTTTAGGAATAATCTTTCTAACCACGTATATAGTCATACCATTTTCGTTTCTATACAAATAGCAGCAAGAACGTCAACTTATCATTTTATGTGGTCATCTTTCAATCGTAAGCTTTTAAAAAATGAAAATTGGGCACTAAACTGTGTAGCTGTCAATGACAAGTTTATAGTGAGCTGCAAATATGAGTATATATATTGATGTCTGAACGTGCTCTGCAATTAGTTATTTACATAATTCAGTTAAAAACAGTGTTTCCAATTTTACGATCCATCTGTACAACTTTTAATAAATATTGTCAAATCAGTATTAAATTGCTTTGCCGATTCCCAGCTAGGAAAGTGCCCAACATTATGATAACGCTTAATCACTGCTTTCTTGGCCGCTTTTTCCATAGCCTCAGGATATCCTCTATTAGTCAAATTATCTTTGTCCCCATAGATTACCAAAACCGGTATATTGGCCTTTCTGAGAACAGGTTCAAAATCATAAGATTTACCTATAATACCTGATAAATGCGTTTGCGTTTGATTCAACCATTGTTAAACGAAAATTAAATGCTATTAATAAAAATACTTATACTTACTAACGATACCTCGTTTCGCAACTGGAGGTACGATCGCCATGATTCCTGACACATATGGATAAAATGAGTTTTCAATCCTCGTAACAACACAACTCTCTCTCGCGTGCACTCACCGATGAACATCAGTCGTGTCTTTTCATCCAAAGGTTTTGCCGTAAGTACATAAACAAGACTCTCAATTGTTGTGATAGCCTTTGTATAATCGTTACTGGTAAGTTGATCAACGAAAGGGCCCAGAGCGGTCGCATTAAGTGAAATTTTCGGATTCGCATGACCGCTACAACTGACGAGCCCTGTTACCCTATCGTAGCCATACTTATCCAAGTAAGCCAAACTTATTGGAAACCCAAAAGACCAACCGACAAGAGCCACCTTCTTGTTTGGATAAGATTTTGTAACGTCTTGGATTACGGCATTAAGGTCATCAGCATAAACATAGATGTTGTCATACATAGACATGTTTGTGGGTTTAGACGAACGTCCGGCACCACGACAATCCATCCTTACGAGATGAAATTTATCTACAAGTCGTCTGTCATTAAATTGAGGCATGAAGGCAATCCTGCTCATAGGCGTGCCATGAATAAAAACGATTGTCGGATTGTTAGGACTGCCAATTTCGTCGTAATATATTATCACATTATCGACACTTTTTACAGTATGAGACGTTATATTCGCAGTGACAAACAATATGATCAATGAAAAGTTGAAAAGAAAAAGAAGAGGCAGTCTTGGGATCATAATTAAGTCTTAACTGTGCGCTTTGCGTTTGTCTGGATGCGCGTCCCTCTGGTGGAATTCGGAGAGGACTTGCAAGCAAAAAAATATCCGCAAGTTTTTAGCATGGGAACAGGAGACGTATTACACGCATCACTCCGATGCTTGAAGTTACACAAAGAAATCCCACGCGCCCGACAATAGAAATCTCGTAACGGTAACTCATCATCAGCAAGATATATTTAGCTCTAATCATGAGAAAAGAACTCCAGTGCGCACATGATAATTTGATCACATGAACAGAGTATGAGGAAGAGAAAAAGTTTCAATAATACTAATGTCCATCAGCTCATTAATAACATGGTAGATATGAGGTGAGGGCGCATCGCAGAGATCACGCAGGATAATGAAAATGATTGGGCGGCAGATTATGGCCGGGAATATATCCGACCCCGATAGTGATTGACTCCCCTTTCTTCAAAGACTATGTCTATATTACGACAAGATGTCAAATTTATTTAATATTACGGCATCCCGGCGTTAAGGATGTTGCCAGGGAATTTAAAGCATTAAAAAAAAAATAATTATAAGATAAAAAAGACAGAATTCTAAAGATCTAATACGTTTTCTGTCGCTGAAGTAGTAATTTAAATAAGTCCAATAATAACTATTAAAAATAATTATAGAATTACGAACGGTATAGTTAAATCTAAGTATTGATGAAGGAATGCATGCGAATGTACATATCTTGTAAGGCTCGATTATACATGTCTTCTTGCCAATTGATATCGTTTTGCTCAAAAGGTTCCTTCCACATCGGGTTGTCAGCTGTTCGCCAAACGATTTTGTTGACAATTCAGACGTTCAAAAGCTTCCATGTGACGTGCAAGATCTAGATGTGATGAACTTTTGCTGACTGACATTACTGACATACGAATAACAGACTCGTTTCATCGTCTTGGTCCATCGTTGGGAGATTTCTGACATCGTATCAGGCCGTCAATACTCCATGTAAACTAGGCGAGAGCAGTGGATTGACTCGATCGAGCTAGCAATGGGGATCTTTGTGCTACTCCATTCGTTTGCGCGTTGAGAGAATGTACACACCAGGTGTAGGAGTTTGTTGCTTAAATTAAAAAATCGCATACGTACTACTCTTCCGTCAATCCAAATAACTATCTTGAAATTTCAACGTCTCCCCTGCACCATAATTCAACGTCTCCCCTGCAGTATAACTCAACCCTCTTGCATGCTTAACCTCACGCTTTCCGTAGATAGATGATAACTTGCCACTGCTCGCACTGCGTCTATGTGCTGCATAATTATCTATATCAGCCGAATCAACAGTTGAAACGCTTGATGCAGTCGATAATTTACGCCTTGCTCGAAAGTCACCAGCGTTACCGAATGCAAGTTTATCGTATGAGACGCTGTGCGTAGAAAAGTGCCGAGAGTTCTTCCGAGAATGAGGTAAAGATCGGAAAGGACTGACAGAAGCAGGAGGAGGGGAAGACGATCTCTCGGCTGCATATTCAGGCAAGCCGGCCAGTTCGCGAAAAAAGTTGTTGTCCTCGAGAAAGAGGTACCAGAATAAACGCCAGGCTAGAAACGAAAGGATCGTGTTAGCATGGCATGCATGGAAAGCTCGAATGTGAGTTGCCTTATCTAATAAAGACTTTGCTGCTACTGTGATCTCGCTGGGTCTTACCAAGTTTTATTCCTACTATGATGGCTGTTATTGTAAGCACTATGACTGCTATGACTTTAAATGCTTCAATTACCACCGAGTCCGTCTCGTTGAATAAATCTATGACTGCCCGCATTATTAACGTTCTATTGAATTGACTTTAGTCGAGATGAATTTATAACCAGCGTCAGGTGATACGAATGACCAATTCCATTCATTGCGTATTCGTGCTACATGCAATGCATTATCAAATTGATAATCAAAGACCTTAGTTATTATACTAATGTCCAAAACCAGCATTTTTAATGCATTACCGAAGATGAACCAGAATAATATATAATGTAATAGACTGTGGAACCGTTTAATGAAGCAAGGGGATGTCTTTTTTTGTTTGACCGCCCATTTGACCCTTTTCGAATACTCTGACAAAAAAGACCCCTTGAGGCATTTAATCGTATAAGTGGACATTCTGATGCTGGAAAGCTTTGCATATGGGACATGGCGGAATACTTTTTGGCATACGTCATTGAACATACGCATTGAAACATACGGCGTTGACATACGGCATTGACATACGGCGTTGACATACCGACATTGATTTATAAGCACGGGTATTTTGGAATTGAACTATGCATTTAAATAGGATTGGGTGATAGCGGTAATACAAGTATTACTGTCACTAGAAGTTTTTACCACAGTTCAATGAACGAGACAGCATGCCAAACAAAACCATAGTATACATGTGTCGAGTCAAACACGCGGTAATTCCAAACCGACAAGTCCATTTCACTACTTGCAAATATAGTTATTTAAATCCAATATATTCGGAAAATCCCCATACACTTTCCTTATTAATTAATAGAATGATGATCTACGTCGTCTAATTAAAATATTAACTTTTGGTGTAACTACAAATCAATCACGCGGCAATAAAAACCAAGAAGAAAGCAAGTTAATACTCCAAACAAGAATTTGCCTGTTAATGTAAGCATCCTTACAAAGCAATTATTGTGATTGGTGGAAATTGATAGAATTTGGTTTTGGTTAACAGCATTTGTTATGGCGCTGTGAGTGCTTTATAATAAAATCTTTGTTCTGCACGTTAATAATTTCTCTCATGCCTGCAAGCACGCATAAACTGAAAAAGGAATAACTTATATAGATTTGAATAGAGCCTAAGATTCTCCTCAGATATATTGATCTGTCTAAACGATAGCATATAATTTATAGTAATCGCATGCCAAGCCATCATATATTTGCACACATTGCTGCTGGGCAAGAGGAGACACCAACAGCGGTATCTCAAAAGAAGAGTCAAACGTAATTTTTTTGTCTTCTGGAACAAGGACTAGCAACCAAAACCAGCTTTCGTAGTGGACAGGCAATAAGGACATCTCAAGCCCACTAGGATCACAGTAGCAACCATAGGCTTCGATTTGGTAAGAATAACTCTCGCATTTTTATATTTAGAAACCGAAAGCACACAGATGATAGATATTTCACGTATTAAAGACGTAAATATCGTGTTAACCTTTTTGTCCGACAGAGCAACTTTTCTGAGCAGCAAAAGAGTCCAAACTTTATTGCATAAGAATTCGGTACTCCCCGATCCTTGATTAATGATTTGCTGCTATTTCCCGATAATCGCAGTATGATTGTACTTGCCCAATAACACTGTTACTATAAGCTTTATAAACTTTCATCTGCAATGCAAATCGACAATACCGAAAATAGGACCATTATAATAATACTTACTCCACATCTTAGCGTAAAGAATTTTCCTGCGATCACATGGTTAACGTACCGTGTAACATTTGCAGGTGACATGCAACCTCGCCCGAATGAATATATAGTTTTTTCCACAACACTATTTTTTGTCAAATCTCTCGGCTCTAGAATTCTCTTGGATACAGTACTAACCTAACAAAAGGACGTAATAGATTAAAAAACATGGCAGTGGTGGAAGAGCCCTTCATCAACAATACAGCCGGCCAGGGCCGTCAAGATTCGACAACCTCACAGAAGATACCCAGAACAAAACCAATAAAGAATGACGCTACACCTCCACAACAAGAAGATGAATACCTCCGTGTTACCGTCACTTCGCTCGACAGGACCAAGCGCGACCCTATTTTTAAGCTGAAAGCTACTGTATGTAGACTTCATTCGTCCGGCACGAGCCCTAAACCCCCAGTACATTCCTTTATTAATAATTATGGAATCTAATTTTATAGACGAATATGTCCAAATTTAAACAGAAAACATACCAACTTGTAGAGAGAACATATACCGAGTTTGAGAGATTGTATGATTCGATGACATACGCTAATCCGGAATGTATAGTGCCGGCACTACCTTCGCCTGCAAGCAGTTTTGCAGCATCCGATGAGGATGAACGGAGAGTGAAGCGTTCGGTACAGCAATGGTTGAACAGGATAGCGTCAAATCCCATCTTAAGACATGATGAGGAATTGAGATCATTTGTCGAGACTAGCTTTACGGTATGAATCCGAGAGAGCCTTAAAGGCGTCTACTAGTTGTTGTCTGGGCGGGAAGATCAATGTATTGCCAAAATGTATTGTCGGATAGGGTGTATGCGTTTGTAATCTATGGCGTAATATTGATGCACAAATTGAGTGCATTGGATAGGCTGATTTGATAACTAACCATTTTTGGTTGAATTTTTTTTATATGTAGTTTATTCCCACAAGTAAGCCGCGTAAGAGATCAAGCGGATTCAGGCTAAAATTCTCCACGCGCACTGTACAAGACGATGATCATGTGTTAACTAATGCTAAGGCAGTCGCTACAGTGTTGGAAGGTTATATGCTCGAGAGCACAAAGGCCGTGCAAAAGCTAGCCAAATCCCGCAAATGTGTGTAGATTGACGCCAGGCAAAGAAACAATCGTAAATGCTTTTGGTGGATTATTGTTTCGGTTACAATTCTACCCACTAACGATTAACAATTTTCATGATTATCCATAGCTATGGCCGTGTGCAATACTGATTTGGGCATGAAGGCTATCACGTTCGCAACATCGGAGCAGCACCCACCACTTTCGAGGTACGTTTAGTGCGCATAATCAACATTCGCGGCGGTATTGTCTTGTTTTTAATGATATGAATATGTTATTCCAGTGGATTCCGTAAGCTCGGTAAAATGCTTCAATCAATTGCTGAACTACAACACGCACAAGCATCAGTGGAGGTTGCAATCCTAGGTGATTTCTTTGCATATTACGCGATTAATGCCCGTGTCGTAAAGGTACATAATAAGTTACTCCTCTTTATATTAAAAAGAGAATTGCACGTATTTTAGTTTGTTGCTGCGTTCGATTCGTCACATGTATGTTAACGATAATATTGTTACAGGAAACGCTTTCAAACCGTATACGTATAACGACCGAGTATGAAACCGCAAAGAAAAATACCATAAGTAAACGTCGATATATTGAGCGTTTAAAGGCGTCAACTTCTATCAAACCTGAGCGAGTCGACGACGCTTTGGAAGATTTGGAATACGTATAGTATCCACGTTTGTCATGCAACGAAATTGCTTTCATGAACAGCACAGCTCCCCTATTTACATGTGCCTTAAATTTTTGCTACTTTCCATACAGGCTAAATCGTACGAGGAAAACCTCGGCGCTCGCTTAATACACGTGACCAAAAATCTCCACAATGAGCTCACTGTTTATGAAGAAAATCGCACACAGGATTTCCTGAACGTGTTCAAAGAATTTGCAAAGAAACAGATCCTATATGAGAAACAACAGCTCAAAGCATGGGAGGACTTGAGACCGGATATCAACGCTATTACGAAGAAAAGTATGCGAGTGCATGCGCTGGGTGATGAAGATCTGAATCCAAGAGCAGTTGCTGAACGATTGAGTACTTACACGTCGAGCTTGAGATAAGCCAGGGAAATGCGAATTCTGTATTGGGTCTTGTTTTTGAATTTTGCCGATACACAGACAATTTTTTACTGTTTGGCACATTTTATATTTTAATGTTTGGGAATTTGATACTATAGACAGTTTACAATTTAGCAGTAATCATTATCTTTGGATATTAATATTTATCAATTTTTACGTTAATGTTCTTGAGGGTTGGTACAAAACCGGGGTTTTTATACTGTATCACAATACAGCATCATCTTGCCGCCTCTGGCCATTAAGCCAGCCCGCTCTTCCGCCATCGCTCCTTCTATATTCACTTACTTAGTCATCAGACTTCCACAAGTCTTTGAGCGGCAACGTGGCGCATTTTTTAATAGTTTCAATGGCAATTGCCACAAGTTCTCTATGGATCTCATCTATAGTCTTTCGAGCGTCTATAATCTAATCATGGATATTTCTTATAAATAAATATGTACTTTTTCAAATTGTTTTGCTTTTCTGAAGTTCACACCCCCTCCTTTACAAAGTTTGAACATCACTTACTTTCATATCATCATGTTTCATATCCAGAAATTGACTTCTAACGTTCCTTTGGAAATCTTCCTTCTCATACCTTTCGTCGCCAAAACCTGCTCTCTTTCCTGCCTCGCAGATGGGTAAATCCAGGAAAAGCGTGATATCTGGAGCAAGGAGACCTACATCTGATGATTTACACCAAGAAAAGTCTAGACCCTTTTAACGGGGTTTGATGATAATAAGTTTGGCAATGATAAAGCTGAACAGAGATGGGATGCAGCGTGACTGTTACAAAATGATGAGGCATACCTTGGCTGCCGAAAATGCAATACCGGAATAAGCATATCTTTCTACAACTATTGATGTACCACTGGCAGAGCAAACTAATTTTAGACGAACAGAAAATCGAGAAGTAAATGAACTCGGAACTTTTACCTTGACAAATATTTTTTCATCGTTGCCCTGAAATGACAATAAAAAGAACGATCAGTTTCGGAAAATACGTGTGTGAACGGCATGTGTTATAACAATCTTTTAATCTTACATGCACTCCCATCTATTTGCCGAAAATAACAAATGTACAGCATGGTCATCCAATTCCTGTGTCGACTTTAGATACGCGTCTATCATCTTTCCGATTGGCGTTGTCCTGTCTTTTTATATGGCCTTGTCAGAATTCTCAAGTCTTTACCATTATAATAATTGGGTCGGCAAAATTCCTACCAGGAAATCTCATGTGCTCAACTCGACATCCTCGAGCTTTTAACTGTCGAACAAGTTTCGCAGCTTGCGTGCTTTTCCCGGATCGATCGCACCCCTCGAGAAGGATAAAGGCACCACGGCGAAGAGGTTGTAGAGGACCGTTGGTCATATTTTTATAAGTATTCGCAAGTTGTGTTGGTAAGCGTATTCGCAATCGTGTTGGAAAAGAGTAGTTGGTTGTATGCAACGCGTAAATTGGCAACAAATTCCAATTATTGTAAGCGTGTAACATATAGTTTGCTAAATATAGTAATGTTATCCTTTCTGATTTGGGCATTGGTAATAACAATAAATAATAATATGAAGTAAACAAACTTTTAACGGCAACGTGATACATGTTTGCTATCATTAACAAAGATAAGGAAACATCATGTATCGAAATCGGTCTATCCGATTGACGGAATAGTCAAATACGCAAGCTTAATATTAATTATAATCTCTCAAAGTTTACGGATTACTTTTATTTAAGTACATTATGTAATTGCTCCGAATTTTTAAATTTATAATTAGTATCCTATTATTACAATGAACATACATCAACCGTTAATAGCTAATGAAATACAAATAAATAAGATTACATTATGGACAATATGATCCAAAGATAAAGAGATGCCAATCCTTTAAAATGTAAAGGTTCTATTTGCGATGCGCATAGTATACGACCTTCTCTTTTCGTGTCGTGCGGTTACTGCAGATTTCACCTAAATAATAAAAACGTTTCGCATGTTATAACTTTGTTGGCATTAAAACTGAAAATACAAACATTCTCCATCTCAACGTACCTGTGAAGAGCTTCCAGTAATGATGTGCTTTGCGATATAATATGCACTGCTCATTATGGTAATCTTGACGAAAATGACAATTAACTGTGGGTCAGTATCTGACGTGTTTGTAATTTTTTGGAATAATTCAAACGTTTCTCACCATGGGATTAATACCAACTGCAGTAGGAAACACACTCGCATCTGCCACATAAAGATTTTCCACTTCCCACGTTTCTCCATCTGGATTGACGACCGATGTTACTGGATCCACACCCATTCGGCTATAGACAGTTTTGGAGTTGTAATCATTCAGCGACTTTCTCGGTTAAAAAAAAAAAGAAAAAAGAGTAATAATGGTACGCTGAGGCAAATAATAAAATATAAATATACATTTTCATTCGCACTCAGCGTGCCAGTATATATACGGGACTCACTGCCGAAACACCATCGAAACATACCATGATCCCATCTGATGAGAACTTCCGATATTACACGCGTTGGCAACAAATCCTGCCTTTCTGACTTTACCCAAGTACTTGGTAAGCTCTGGATCGTTGAATGCGTCCTTTGCAGACGGTGCAAATTCTCCAACATTATTTTGGCAAGTGCCAATTCTTGATGCTCCAGCGGCCACAAGAATCTTTAGAGCAGCTACAACTCCTTCCGTCATGCTTTTAGCATCATGTTGTGAGAGAGTATATTGGATGGCTGGCATGTCATCGGCGTCACACACAATCTTACCACCATCCCTGTCTCGTACAATGACAATGAGTGGAACTATGTGATTATACTCGGTCATGAATTGCTTGTGTTGTAATGAAGACCTCCATGGAAAGCTGACGGATACAAATGCCGGATGGAGACTGCCAACCTCGATTTTCGCTCCATAATGGTTTCCATCAGTGTTCTCAGCAACGCTTGAAATCTAGAAAATATAAAAAGAGGGTTAGTTGATATTCAACGAATCTCTATTCTGCATCACAAGTATACTTACTGTAGTGAGAATAGTTCCAGTATACGTCTTTATATCTTTTCCAGGAAAGACACCATAAACACAGGCAGTAGGATGACAGAAAAAGTTCCTTCCTATGTTACGATTCTTCAACCCACTTCTGAGCAACAATGCTGGACTGTGGATGGCACCAGCGGCAACAATTACTTTCTTGCAATGAACGCGCAACGTACGATTCCCGCATACTATTGCTTGAACACCATACACTTTTGATTTGTCCTTGTCTTTCTCAACGAGGATTTTCTGAACAAAACAATCTTGCACAAACTGAGCCCCATAATCTCTTGCATCCTGTAACCAAGTTTGTACAGAACCCTGCTTTTCGCCGTACTTGCAGCCAAACCCGCACCAACCGCACTGATGTGGGCGATCAGCAGAATTTTGGGGAACACTTTCACAAGGATAACCAAGTTTTTTACAACCATCTACGAGAATCTTGTTGCTGCTGTTATGAACTATGTTTCGACTCGTCACTCCAAGTCGGGATAATACCATGTTCATAGACCTGCGATACTCGTCTGTTAGAAAATAGCCCAGTCCCTTGCTTGCCCATTCTTCGCGAACAAAATGTTGCGGCTAATATGAAAGAGTGACACCGTCATTAAAGGCCTGAATTCGACTAGAGTCAATGATCAAACTTGGGAAACCATTATTACTTACCTTCAAACAGGCTGACCAATTAATTGTTGTCCCCCCGCCAAATGTAGAGCCAGCCAAATAACTCACACTTCCATCTTCCGACGAAAGCCATGAACTCTGTTCGTATAAACAGTTTGCGGCATCCATTTGTTCGAGAGTGAGATCTTTTGGTTGGTAGTATTTACCCTTTTCGAGAACGAGAACCTTGTAACCGGCTTTTGCCAATTCTGCTGCAGTGACTCCGCCGCCGGCACCTGACCCAATAATGACAACGTCAATCTCATTCTCACCTTCGCGTGGTAAGTCGAGACCTTCGTGTGGGATTTCCATAAATTTGAATTCAGGAGACGTTCGGTCGTCATAATTTATGTAACTAGCGTCTGGGTCCGGCCCAGGGTATCCGATTGCAGGATAAAACTTCCGAGCATCTAGCCAGAATGCGCTACATATGAGTGTAAGCAATGTGCGAAATGCTTGTCTTTCAATGACGAATGTGCTCGTTGCCCATCTATTGAGTACGGCTTCTCGTTGCTTCTGGGTCAGTTCGTAAAAGGGTTTGCCGAATCCCGTTAGTATGCGAGCAGTTCTTGGTTTCGATAGGTTGCGTAGTAGTTTCTTTAATTCCGCGACTTTTTTTGGTCTGACGACAGTGTTTATGCGAGTGACGAGTTTTTCGATAAATTCTTCATCGGCGCCTAGATCATAGTTGCCGAATTCCTGGACGTCAGTAGTATTCGTAATGAGCACCTTGCTGTCAACGGTTGAGAGAATATCTAATTCGTCCTCTTCCAGTTTACCGATGAATGTGCTGCACAAAGCAGAGAGCACACGTAAATGTTTATCTTCTGCGATGAGAACGGAGCTAGCAATCGAGGCTGAATCTTTGTCTGACATGTCTGGTGACAGAAGATGGTATTATTGATGCAAAACACAGGTGCAAGTGAACGGGACAGTATTTATGTAACATTTGGACGTTCGTTTCTGTATAGAGGAAGGAGCATAATGTTAATCGGCAACACGGTACGAAGCCAGTTATGTCTATCATGAACCGATACCAGAACTTATTTAATACTAGTGCAGTTGATGATACCGATCCAAAATTCATCCTGAGCAGTAAGCTTGAATGGGCCCATTGCTATTACATAGTCATCATCAGATCTGGGTAATGAAAAGTACGCTAGTCCTTAAACCAAAACCTTATTATGACGACTATTTTAGGCATTCTTACGTGACGATAGTTTTCCACATTGTGAAACGAGATTGGCCCAAATCGCCGATCTGCTGGTGAAACACGTGAAGAAACCGTCTTCTGAAACGGCGTGCTGCTCGAGTAATGTAGTATATGGAAAACAATTGCTATTTCTGTTTTCTGTGGAAAATCCTGATACAGCTATTACTCTTATTTGGTACTACGTGTGTTTCTTAACTCGCAATAGTTTTTAGTTTCAGCTTTTCCTTTGGGAAACCGCATCTTGTCCATATATTATAGTTTAGAGATAAAAAATTTATCAAACCACAAAATAATGTATATTGTAGAATGCCTTCAAATTTTATTTGCTAATAGGATATCTCGGTCAAAAGTTGCAAAGTTTTATATTATTATAATTATAATATCGCAAAGTTAGAGCGTAAACATATTAACGCAAAAAGGAACAGCTTGCTTTCAAATTTTTTTAATTCTTCATTACGTTTAAGGTTAATTGCAGCATTATTTGCTCTTAGCTTGCAACTACAGTCAACTCTCTTTATAATGACCGCATTGGGCTGGGCAAAATTGGTCGTTATATGCAGCGTAGTACATATAATAAATTATATAACGATTTTGAAAACGGGCAGAGCACAGGCGCTCGTTATAAGGCACCGGTCGTTATAAAAAAGGTCGCTATAAAGAGAGTTGACTGTATTATTTTGTAAAATTTTGGCTATTATTATATACGTTTTTATTATGTTCAATCAATAAAAATATAAAAATTGTTTATAAACTACAACTTTACTGTATTATACTACACTTATAGCAATTCAACTAGAGAAGGTTGTTATTTATCGTTATTATTAGCCATTTTTCCTGCCAAATTCATAATAGACAACTTACCAAATGGCTATGAGGAAATAGGAAATTACATAATTGGAATTAAAAAACGTACGTGGTCAACCAGAATGTTTGCACCGAAAACGCCTACCGCATGGAAGACGATAAAGTAACTGGATTAATGCATGAATATTAAGCGGCAAAAAACTATCTTTTCGAGGTTGACAAATTTGGATATACATAACCGTTTTTCTTAAAGTAATTTTATCTAGAAAAATGTATCAACTTTGTTACTTTACCCATAATACCAAAATTAATGTTTAGGACATTATCAAAATACAATACTGAATTACTAAATTGATGGGTTTCTGACATTTATTTCCTGAACAAATTTAATACCTGTCGTCAAAGTTTATTATTTTGCCAGTAAATTTATTCGAACTGTAATACACGGATCCATTAACGCCCAGTCGAAAAACATTAGTTGTGCACATACATGCATATATGGTATATGTGTATGCTCAATATTCATTACCTGTCAATGTACGTAGCGCATAGTGATCATTATAACGCATACCGGGTCCACCAAATTTATTTTTACTATCGACAAAAAGATAACTTTAAAAATAATCTGAACAGCTTCCATTGCTATGTTGATGTGCGCCTAAGCCACATATCGTATAAGTTGGCCAAATTCGATCATGAGACGAAAACTTTCCTTAACGACAATGAACCGATCCTGAAGGACATTTGATGCTTACATAATGTGACGCTGACCGTCAAAGTCTAATGTCTATTAAATAACGTTACCCCCGATAACTTGGCATTTGATGATGCCCAATAAAGCAAATTTCGAGAAACGGCGTACAATCAGATTTTGTCATAGCACAATTGACAAGCAGTAAAACATAATTGACGGACCGATCTCTTAAAATTGATAAAACGTGTAATTATAAAGTTCTGGCTAAGCGCATTTTTTTCCCCCGCTTATCATATCAGCTTGGATGTTATTTCGTTGCACAGTCGACCCTCTCTAATATCAACCTCACGGGACCGGCCAATTTCGTTGATATATGCGGGGTTGGATATCATAGTGGGTGATAGGGTTTAATAACATTATCTCGTGTTTAAACTTTATTCATAATAAAACCTCTTTTTTTCTTTCTTTCTCCATATTAAATATTCTTATATAATGCGATGGCACATGAAATGCTTACGAAAATATGTAAACTGCCATTTTGTATGTTCAATTTGTCCATTTTTAGTAATATACTATAGTACACAATAGGACGCAAATCACATTATAAAGAGACATAGTTAATATTGTAAACCAGAACTTAAAAATACTAATTTATATTGATGTTGAGGTACATTTAATTAGGAATAAAATCTGATGTGTTGATAGGAATATCAGCGGGGTATGATATCAACAAAACAGGTAGTTGTTTCTATGACAAATAAAAACAATGTGTTGATGTGTTGAACACAAATGTACGGTGAAGGCCTAGACACTAGGATGCGGGGCAATGTATCAAAAACCACTACTCGAACTACTCGCTAGTAGTTTTCGTATATAATTACCAAAAAGTTAGGGCAGCTTTATAATTTGTGATAAATTAACACTTTAATGAGATCGTAAAGGAAACGTTATATGACGGACGTTAATCCACAAAATTCTACAAAAATCTAGGAAATTGATTTACCCGAGTGTATGTTTAAAAGCATCCCTACAATGGAACGAAACAAGAAAACCTTTTATAGTTGCCAAGACACGATACTTGACGATATGATGAGTAAATTAGTAAATTGTATTGCGTAATACAATGAAAATGTCTCGTTTGAAAACCTTACATTCAATAATGTCGTTCTTTCGGACGTTCAAGTATATACAGTACGTTCGCAGCAATTGACATTTTAGTTCAGGCTCTCTTACAAGGTAAACTTGAATTTGGACATATCTCTTTTTCGCTAATCACCAATATAAAAATTGATACTATCCATTATGCTTATTTACAAAAAACACGCTCGATGATTGATACACTAGCATTACTTTGAGGCATCGATGAACGTACATAGATCAACGCTCGTGAGTTTGCTTACTTCCGAGACACAGGTATACGAAGACCACATGGCTTAATCGTCGCAACAGACTCTAAGGGATTTCCCAAATTTGGCGACAAATATTATGTGGTTGCTAATAATATCTTTTTTGATTGCTATTCTCTCTACGGATCTTGCCCCGCACGTGGAATACATAATGTAGTCTAGTGACTAGCAACAATAAGCAACTTTATTAGGAAATCTCAATTCCAAATAAACTCTACAAATGACATTCAATTGTATTGAGCCAGGCCAGGAATATGGGATATGCAGGGCTTATCATATGGTTTACCTACTTATCAAGGAGCTAAATTAATCTCGGGATAATGGATGAGACAGATAATTAATATTTTGATAAGGTGACTATTACTATCAACTACAAATATTAATATGTTGATGTTTATATATAAATATTGACAACTATGTATTAGTATGCTTTCCATTAGTTATGCGATAAGCATTCAGACATTAACATGCTACAGATATTTGGGCTACTGTTGGAGTCATTTACAATGCGAGTACAAAAGTATTATGGATTATGTCTGGCATGTACACATGGATTAGTACATGTAATAAATGCATGCTGTTGGTGCAAAGCATCAAGACCTCTTGATTGGACTACAGGCAACAAATGGATAAAATAATTTCTATTGACAGACCATACAACAGATGTCATATTACACCATGAATGTACATGTTTAGCAAATTTGTTAGAACCAATGGTAATGAATGAACAAAAGTAATGCTCAAGCAGATAGTAATAGTAAACACTCTGTTACTTGATTTCAAAAGGCAAATTATCTTCCATTAACCATGCACAATAATAATAATGGCATTTTTATGCGTTAATTAATAATTGATGTAATACTGTATTTGTTTGCTCAAACAATAAATATCCAGATATATTATCACTAAATAATATTTGAATAATAATAATTAGATACCACATATAACTTAATTTTCTACTATCAAATACATCCAATATTAATGAATAAAATTATTACCAGAATACATACAGTATACCAATTGTTATAGACCTATTGAATCTGGTAATTGCAAAACGATCTATACTGCCCTGCCAATTATAAGCTTGCACTAACATGCTTTAATATTACAAGTTATGAAATCAGGCACAGAAACTATTTGTTAATGAGGGAAACAATCTTTTGTATCATTTATTAAGGTAAATAACATTCGTGCAATCCGCACAGCTGTGCATCCCGATTAACATTAATGTTACGTCACTATATAAACTGGTATGGTAGGTTACTCTTTTAGAGTTCCACTTCCGTTCGTGTGAGCAAAACTGTTTGTCAGTGTATTATGCGAGTGTATATAAATACATGTAAGTATACAAGTTATAACGTACTACCCACGGATTTGTAAGTGTCAACTATTATGTGCTTGCTCACGCTTAGGCTGTTTGCCTGCCAGTGTTTCATTTTTTATTATTATACGCTTTGCTTTACGCGGCTACAATCGAAGATTTTTACATTCATTCACGCCGTAAGCAAGTCGGTAAGTTACGAGTATGGACCGGTCAGACATCATTTACGTCGCAGAGGTGTCCGCTGCGTTTTTAATGACAACGCGCTGAATAATGAAATGACAATGCGTTGAGTAATGTTTTTTACATTACACTTATTCACAAGAAACACCCTATTATTTTTCTACAAGAGTTTGATTCCAACATTCATCAGCAGAACTAGTAAAGCGTAGCATAATTAATTGATTTGTATCTCCAGCAGACCTCTGAGAGGAAAGAAGAGTCAATGAGCGAAAACTGTATGGAGGACCGTGGGAAGTTGCACGAGATATTACAAAGAGCCATTTGATTTCACGGACGAGATAAACTGCAGGGTCTGTTCATTGAAATGCCTAAAAAGTGAACAAGTATATAATCAGACTGACGAGAACAGCATCACTAATAACGATGCGATGTTAATTAAAGAACGCCAGAAAAGTCCTAAGCAAATCAAGTGTGCAGAAGAGTTGAGACTAGTCAAGTATCAAAATCAGTGCCTAAATGTCCGAAGAAAAAAAATAGCTAAATTAGGCAGCGTGTTTTAAATACTACTATACTTTGACAATAAAATCGGCTAATACTAACATAATATTACTGTTACCATTAATTTCACGATTTATTAATTCAAGCTGCAATACCAGTCCTCAAACTTTATGGTATCACAGCCGAGTCTATTCCCCCACTCAAACCAAATTAACAACCACTTTTTTCTTACACAAGATTCACAAACATGATAGTTATGCAATATGCTAGCAATGGTATAAGTAAATTTTTGTCTTACCTGGATTAAATACGAACACTTGACATGTAAAATAAAATTAGAGCATTTGGTATATTTATGTAAATAAATTAGTGCATTGTAATCTTCATGGCGGAAACATACCTTTTTGATGATAACTATAAACCATATATTTGCAATTTTGGCCGTTCTCAATTGGTAAATCCACGTCAACAAATTTAACCATTTAAGGCATTTTCCGCTTTACTGCATCAAAAGTCTTTCACTCACAAATTTTACTCAAAAATCAGACATGTATTCTTTTGGTAATTATATATTTAACGGTCACTGATAAAGATTGGCAGTTTGATAAAAATCTAATATGTAATATTATGGATGGATTATGACCAGAAGAATATAGGAAAATTGTTGTGCTGCTGATTCTGATAAACCCATAAACATATTAATGTCACAGAGCTGCTAAACGCCCAGTTAGGACATAATACCTTATACACGTTCTCCGAAAGTCTACCAAGTTATCCTATCTTTTATTTTTCTGATATTAATTTTCCCGTAATAACTGTCCTAGCGATTACATTGTCCAGCGAAAGTCTAAGTACCCAATAATATACTGATAGTAAGTATGAATTGCCAGATCTGCTCAAAATTTATTTATGAAATCCGCTTATTATTATAAAATTATGGCCAATTTATCGCTGTATGAGGCAGTCTATTATCACAGTATGTTGGTCGGTCATGTGCTATCTAATGTTCGAATCGTCTCATATGTTTATTTAACAAGGAATCCATTGCACGTGCGGAATAAATACCCGGGTATAATAATAAATCAAAATTTGGCTACAAGGTATATCCACAGGGGGTATACATGTCGATGCATAAACAAGAGGACTTTCGAAAGGGGTTAAATGACAATATATGTCTATCCAATACACAACAGTATTCTCACTGGGTGGAGAGAATAACACAAACGCAGTAAAGTTTACCACACACTATAACGCCGTAGGACAAAATACTTGAGAACTTAGTTACAATACAATCATGACTTGGCTGTATTACAATTTCCCCAACAGCTCTTTGAAGAGCAAGCTTTTTGCTGCAATGCGTTATATAATTTGAAAATTGTTTCTTTTTTTTTTTCAATCATCACCGATCGAACCGAGGTATAATCAAACTTAAAATGACAGAGCATCTTAAAATATTACGTAATAGTAATGATTAATCGTGGTACTCATTACATAATATGACTAATTACCAATAACGTAACTGTACTGTGTCACACACACGTTACCTTCCAACTCCTTAAAAGAAACCGAGAAAATCCGTACAAATATATTTCATTATAATTCAAAATGCAGAGAATGAATAGACCCCCTTCTTTAAAAATGTTCGACTTCTCAGACACCGATTCGGGCATATCATATGAGAGCACTGAAGATGAAATAGAAATTAACACTCCAACGTATTCGCTATCCATAATGGATCCTATTGAGGCTGCTGTGCAACCGGAAAATATGCTAGACAAATTTGTAGAAGTTGGCGGAAGACGTTACTTCAACGATGTTACATTAAAAGGTTTTTACTATCTGCCCAGTGACCAGAAAGAAGTAGAAAGAACGTATGCACGAAATCACCTAGACAAAATTATATGGGAAGGTAACTACTCTGCTCCCGTTTTCGATAGTCTATCATTAGGAGCAAACGTTCTTGACGTTGGGTAAATACATTTGATCGTAAGTTTGATAAGCAAAAGTCTGGACCACCCTGTATTAATAATTTCTGTATATTTAATCAGTTGTGGTGCAGGAGCTTGGATAGTCAATATGGCGTTAGAGTACCCTACTTCAGTATTTGTTGGAATAGACATCGTTCCTTTGTTCCCTGAAGACTATCCACCAAATATGACGTTTCTTAGATGTAATATCCTGAACGGTCTACCGTTTCCAGATAACACATTTGATTTTGTTCGACAAGCGTTTGTCATAGTTTGTATCGATTGGCAATCGTGGAAAGAGAAAGTGGTGAAAGAACTCATAAGAGTAACTAAGCCCGGAGGATATATCGAAATTATGGATATGAATATAGACCGTGAAATCATAAATCTGGGAATAGTAAGCGGAAAAATTGACAATTGTCGTAAGTATGTGATAAACAGTATGTGTATGCGTTATTGGGCGTGTAGCTAACTCTAGCTACCTCATTTAAAATTGTAGTAGAGGAACATTTTCGTAAAGCCGGAATCAATCGAGCGTCCGGTACAGATGTAATAAAAACATTTAATGAGTTCAAGGATAAGGTGATCGTAGCTCCCATTGAAGTAAGAACATACTATTTGGGGAAGAAAGCGGGGAGAATAGGTGATGCAGTAAGTATATAATTTTTAAGAAAATATTCATAGATGTTTATAATTAACTAATGCTTTTTGTTATTTAGTTATTGAAATCTGTCTTAGGGGGATATAGAGCAATGAAAATTATTTTTATTCATATTATGAGGATTACAGAAGAAGAATTCGAACAGATGTTAATTGATTTTGAGAAGGAATGTAATGAAATTACTCTTCGTAAAACACGATATTGCGCCATTATTCAAAAGCGTTTGGTTGTGTACGACAGTTGACTTTGGCATGTTTGCTGAATACGACATCTTTTCTGGTTACCGTAATCACTAACTTTTTGAACGTTTTGTAAAATTGTACAATAAATTTATATTAGGTTACAGCGTGTGTATGTAATTTTTTTAAGAATGATAATTTAAATTTGAAGGCTATTTTATCGACGGTTGAATAACAGTGTACTGTTGTTTTCGTTGCTTTTGCAAAAAAAGCGACATACTGAAAATTTTGGACTTTTACTAAAATAGAGGTTAATTTAATTTGTTAATAATTATGAGACTTTACTCGCTATGGTTGTCACTTAGGTAGAGAAGCGATTATAATATTTAAAAGAATCAGCAACAGAGCATTACATTTGCGATAAGTAAAATGGTGAGTACAAGTATCTGACTATGCTTTCTTTAAGACAAAGCAGTACGATTGGATAATGATAGCTTTCTCAAATAAATTTTTTATAAAGACGCATATCAATCTGTAAACGTACTGACAATGAATAGAAATGTTTCAGGTTACCTTGTTTTTATAAATAATTGATTAAAATTACTATTCTAATATTAATATAATCATAATAAATTGACAGAAAAAAAGTAGTTAAAAATTCTTAATTACAGATTGACAAAAACTATTTCATGTTAATGATATAAGTTTGCTTACGCAACCGAAGATTTTAAGTTTATAATAAAGCAAGGTTAACAATTTACAATTAAGAGTATTATCGCAAACTGCTGTGAATAAGAACTCACCTTCATTCATGGGTTTTGTTGCGTCTTAAAACAATGCAAGATAACTTACGAATCGTCACGTAACAACTGCCCACCCACGTTATCTCTGTTTATTACATAATTACGAACTATATTTTCAAAACTATTATTCTTATAGTATGATTATAACTTAAATTATAATTAAGCCAAGATTAATCGCGTAATGATTACTCGCAATATGATTACTCGCGACCGCTTACGTTGTTGTCATTCTGTTATGATTACTATAATAATAGAGTATGTACTGCAAAATGTAATAACAGCTCTCATGGTTCTGAATAAAGCTCTTAAGCGGTTTTGCAAAACTCTTTCTGAATAAAACAATTTTGATTATTGAGTCGATGCTTAACCTTTGTTATAATTATAACTAGAAAGACTATGCTAGATATAGAGACAACGTCGAATCGTCCTCTTTCCCTTTTTTACTTTTTATCTCAATGTCATTTCAGTCACCTTCGTATTTGCAAGCTACACATACATAGAGCCCTCCCCTCTTCATATACATAAGACGAGTAATATACATACAACCGTAAAGAGCAATTGTGTGACTATGACGTGATTTTGGAGATTATGAGCCATGACACCCACAACGATTATGTAACGCCGTGATATTACACAATTGAAAACTCACAATCGACATCACAAAACAATGGTTTTATAGTCATTGCAAGTAATAATATGATATAGAATAATTTGTGTTTATTTAATAGAGAAAGGTATTGATAAATGAAATAATTGACGTGGAAAATAATTTTTGATTTTTGATGTCACAGAGTCATTTGAGAAAAAAAATAAGAAAAAAAAATATCAGTTACCACCACAGGTACAGTGTCCCATACATGCCCGGCAATCGCTGCAAAAATAGCCTTTGGGGCAGCCGCTAGAACGGCAAGCACCTGAATCTTGAGGTAAAAGAAGGAAATTAGTATTGGATTTTAGCAGATTAGTATCTCTCATAACTCTGCGACACCGAATAAAACCTACACATTTTTAAAAGGGTAATTATGAAAAGTAACAAAAAACGTTACGTCCTTATATAAGAATTTGATGCGACCTTGATTGTTTTTTTTTCTTTCGATGTGCTTTTTGATTATTAATCAATAAAGATGGTTATCTTTTCTGATCTACGGCGCTTATATTCTGCAAGGATTTTTTTTTCACAACTGCATTTTATCATGATCAGCTGTCCAAATATGGATAATGTAACCAAATAAATGCGGTACAAACAGCTTTTCTTTGTTTCAAATAATTATTGAATTCTTGTAAAAACGCATGAATCGCAGGAGTTTCACAGATAATTATGAGTTTCTTTGTAATCCGTTACAAGTCGTCCTCAACTCATTTTGCGGAATCCAGGGAATTTTCTTCCAAGCCTTGGTGAACAATGGAGGTGGCATTTATATGGTGTTCTTTGACATTAATCAAAAAATTGCAGAATGTTTCTTTGTAAATCAGCAGACATATTGATTAGTCGAGTTCGAAGAAACAGAAGCTTTGTTGTATTGTAAGTAAAAAAGCGACGAATAACTACAACGTAAATATACTCTTCTTTTAAACCGTTCCCTCTGCTTATTTTAAATTTAGGTATGAGATAGTAGATTCAGGGAATGTGGAACTGATGCGAAGCAAGCCCATGAGCATTTACTATGTAAATATGCACAACGAAAAAACTTTTCACAAAGAAAATACGTATGTCATGAGTTTGACAATCAGATTTGGAATTTGTAGTAACAATCAACGGTTACACGATTACAATATGCATAAAAAGATCTATTTTGTAATGGGGCTTTACCCTACATCATGCATAGAGACCTTTCGATTTTATTCTGTGGTATAGCATGTGATACGTCAATCGATTATCTGTATGATGTAATCAATTTTCAGCCATATCGATTAACTGGAATAAAAATATAACCAACCATTCGAAGAGCCATATCGCCTATGGCCTGCTCTGCAATAAAAAAATAAAAACCTTAATATAGCCTAGACTGCAACTCTAAAGCTATATGCACTACGTACATACGAAGCAAAGTTTCTGCAGAATCCGGAGTCAATTTATATCCATCCGAGATTCAGAGAACGATACATATGGTCCGGGAACAGAAGAGACACCATAAAGCGAAGGGTAAAGTAAATTATCGAGCTTTCTATTAATGCGTCTGTAAATCACATCACGTTATAATGGAGCGATGTCATGTGTTTTATTTCAAAGAAATGGCTCTTCCGCGAATCAGAGATCAGCCCGTGGGACATACATAGCCAGCGATAGAAAAAAATAGTTGGTTTATCTACGGAGCAGTGCACTCCATGCCTGATCAATGCGTAACGTATCCGGGAAAAATAGTGAATATCGAGTTGAATTAGTCAGGCCTTCAGGCGCCTCTACGAGAATGGCAACCGTTAGATGATTTTCATTTCTTGCTCCGTACTGGATATAATGGTAAAGGAGGTCGATTAATACGTATCGGGTGGTTAATATGTGTAATGGTTAATATGTGTAATGCAAAAAGAATTTGAAAAAGTTTTGTTAAATATCCCTCATGACATTACTAATAAAATTATAATGCATTTTCAAAGATATTCCATTTGCGCCAATAGTAAGGTATCCAAATATTCTATCACAATTGGGATTCAGAATATAATGCTAGCTTCCAGCTAATAAACAGTATCAATTATTATGTTCGTTCATATCTGTATTTTTTTTAAGCAATTCACTTTTAATATAAGAGAATAAAACACATGTATAGGCACTTCGATAAGATCTATACCCTCTCTTTTACATACAATCTCGCTTTTTTTTGATTACGCGTCTGTTGAATATCTAAGTCTATCTTGCCTCGCTTATAAAACATTGGATTCTCAGAAAATGTTGAGAGCCCTGGAATTCGTATGCCAATTTTAATTCTTTGTTATACCCATCCGGCATTCGTGCAACTTGCACAATCGAATATCGAATTACGGGAGGAGTTAAATCGCGAGGTAGACATAAATCGTACAAATGAAAGAAAAATTCGTAAGCTTATGCGAGAATTGAAAAAATGCGAGGGAGAGATATTTCGCCAGAGTATTACAATCACGGATCAGGGGAATAAAATCGATGATTTAAAAATCCAAATATCAAATTTACGAAAACGATTGAGATTAGCTCTCAAAGAAATCAAGGCAAACGAAACCGTGATTGACACCAAAAACAATCAAATCACTTTATATGAAAAAAGTATTTCCAGACTTAAAAAAAGAATCAAAGAATTATGTTATCTCAGAAAAATATCGCTTAATCAAATAGAAATGGCCAATCTTCTTCCAACACCAAAAATGGATAACCTTGTCGTGTATACAATATAAATTATTTCTGTCAAACTGTTAGAGAATTTTTAACGTATATTCCCCCCGGAATAATAGAGTTACAATTGAGCGTGCATTAACAAATTTCACAAATGCGTACAACCAGTCTCAAAATGAGATAACAAGACTGAGCAGTGATTTAGTACAATCAATGGAAAATGAGCGAAGATGCCATGGGTTGGCAGGATAATAATGCAGACTTGCTAGTTGCGTAGAACAAATGTGTTAAAAATATAATGGCGAACAAAAAAAGCGTATTTTTTAGCGATCTTTAACCATATGTAGCGATTTTTTGGTCGATATATCTATAAATAGTTAGATCTGCGTCCAAATAGAAGTCGAAATCACCCATAAAGGGTCAAGAAGTACTTTAGTGTTACGTACGTATGGGTTCGATCTTATATTAATGTTAATTATGAGTACTTTTCTCGCTTTCGATAGCCTGTAGTGTATGTAACTATTCGAACTTGAATAATTGCGTACCCTATTAATACAATAATAATATGCTAAAAACATAATTAAAAATGATATACTCTGGCAAAGCTATAACCATTATATACAGGTACATTGCTAATGTTCTACCAGTCATACTTATTATTCGCCAAGTAATTTTTTCAAAAAGACAATTTTTGCGCGCCTAAATATGTTTAACAGTTGCAACGGAAAATATTATTGCAAGTGTTGAGCATAACAACAACTCAAAAGCAGTCGCAATAAATGGCTCTGCCTTCATAAAAATTCACTGATGCAAAAAGAGATGTTGCAAATAAATAAATTAAGACAAAGGTTATTCTAACAACTGTCAGATTGTTAAATTAAAATATATATATATATATACATTCTCCATTAATTAAAATTTCCACATAGTAATAGACCTTGGAGATATTTACAAACAGAAA